AAATATATAAAATAAGATTTTTTTAATTTTTTGTGAGAATAGAAAAAGTGAAATATTTGTGTTTGGGTTTTACTAAAAGGGAACATACAAATCAAATTGCTTTTTTTTAGTTAAAGAAATAGCTTTGAGGTTTTGACAATCATCTAAAAGTCGATATTTATCGGGATGAGCTATCGATTATTTGAAATAAACTTAATATGCCTTGGCATTAAGAAACCCGTTTTCAAAATTTGAAGTTTTCCATACGGACGAATGGACAGACACACAGACAGTCATGGCTAGACAGAATATTGTCTATAATGCTGAAAATGCTTTCTTTTTATTACATACACATGCACATAACCATAATACCCGATTTTTAACTTATTTCAATGTGTACAGTGTAAAAAAAAGTTGAAACTATCAACAAATATTGTGTTTACAACAAGTATTATTTTTCCAGTTTTCCTAGCTTTTTTTGTAGCTTCCCTTTGTTGTTTTTGCTGTCGCGGGCTGCTGTTTGCATGCCATTTGGCCATGAATTGAGTTTTTTTTTTTTGTAAGCGGCTAACAAAATTTTTAAGCTTAGTGCATGCAAATATTTAATATACGCATGAACGACCTGAATATTAAACAATTTCCAATTTGTGGTTAAATCTAATTCTAATTTAAAGATTACATCGAATTCAAGACAAATAAGTTACGATCAGAACAGTTGTTGTACTAAAAAAACAGCAATCTCCCGGATATTTGGTTGTATTTAAAAACGGTTAAGAATTAATTATTATTACATGTATGCAAATGCATTTTTTTCATGGCAAAGAGATTTTGCCATAATTAAATTAATTATTAAAGACGTAAAAGCTTCGTGAAGTTTCGTTTCGGATCGAAAGCGGACACAAATTGGTTTTGATAATTAAAAAAAAAACAACAACACAGCTATATAATATTACTTTGCAGTAAGGGGGCAGAGCTGTCTGGCTGACAAGCGAGAAGTCGCTGGTTCAAATTCAAAAGTCATTGTCAGTTTTTATTTTTATTTTTTTAAGAAAAACGCAATGCCAATAAACCAAAATGAGAAAGAAATCGAAAATGGTTGTCAGTGGATGTGTATTTTTTGGTAAACTTCCCGCTAGTTTTATATAGAACACCAAACCAGAGAGTAAAGATAATTTGGCACGCCGAAGACTTAATACTCTTATATGTAAGAATAGCGAAGCTCGCATATTCTGAGTTTGATGAAACTATGTTGGAAAACATAACAAAACATGCCAAAATATACAAAAACTCATATTTTTCGGATTCTTCCTATAGACCTGTTTAATATAATAATGCGATCTTAAAGGGATTTGGCGTATATGTGGGCGGGATAGTTTAAAAATATTTAATAATAACAGAGAAGTGCAAGGTCAATATATCATGAAAAATAGAAGAGCTTTTCTTACAACAACTTAGTTTTCGGCCAATCGTTCCTATGGCAGCTATATGATATCGTGGTTCGAGCCGGCGAGTTCTCAAATATGAACAGCCGGCAACAGAAAGGCGAATCAATGAAAAGTTTCCCGACGGCAGCTTTAATACTGAGGGTCTGCAAAGAAAGAGGCAGACATATTAACTCGGCTGTTGATGCTGATCTTAAATATATACAATTTTGGAGTCGGATATGTCCTCTTGTAATTTAATATTTTTGCCTAAATCAGGTACTAAAACTGCTACAATCTCCCCTAGGGGCTTCTGTTTAGAATCTTTTGAGCAAACACCTGTACAGAGAAGCGCTTCATTATGACACTATAGCAGCCCTGGCGCATACCTATTTAAAATGCGCAACCCCTAGACGCTACCAAAAATTAATGTTTTTCCATGGCTCTGAGTCCTGCAGTGCATGAGCCGTTTTGCAACAATCAAACAAAAGCTGCCCACTCTACCAGCTGCCGGCTAAAATCTGGCTGCTGCTTACCTTGCTGACTCATTAAAGGGCCACATGTGTGCGGTGCACAGAATGCCATGCCACACATAGAATAACATACACAATCACACCCACGCAAGGGAAAGCGAACCTTAAATTGCAGTGACATCATTAAAGGGTTGCCCGGCTGCCATATGATACATACTATGTGAATGTGGGAATCTGGGCGCCTTTCAAATTAAGCCTGCAGAGTGCTGTCAAGGCAAGAGCATTGTATATTCATATGAGGAGCACGCCAGCTACCCCGACATCTACTTATGTTTGGAGCGGCTGCCATAGCCAGTCAGCAGTCGAGTGTTGCCAGGTCCACTTGGCTGTCACCAGGTGCCTTCAGATTGCGCTTGCAACATATGCAATCAAAAAGAACTTTCACTGCCAGCAAAACCATGCATCTAACCAGAATTGCAAATCACATCAGCGCACAGGCCAGCTAAAATAGCTGCGAATTAAAGTCATTATCACACCGAAGCATTTGTGCAAGCGCGCAGCTATTTAATGGTTAATTACCTTAACAACATGCTAAAGTTAGCCTAATTGGGTTAAAACTGACGACATTCCCATTTGATACTATTTGATTTTGGCTCCGAGGTTTTGCACTTAAAAGGGCTGTTGAGTATTAACATGATTATGGTACAATTTTTGGAAAGTAAACCAGAGCCTCTACTAGAGAGTTCCCGACTAGGGGATACCCTTAACCCTCTTCTACTAACATAAATGCAGTTCGCGCCTCGAGCTCGATTCCTTTAGCAGTTAGAAATAAATTTTAAAAATGCTCCCTTATTATAGCCGACCCAAACTCGAAACTGGCCGCACTCCTTGCTACCGCCCCAACTTGACAGCCATTGCCATCAAACGAAAGATACTCGATCTGTATATACTATTCTACAAGCTACTTGTCAAGTTTGGTGACTCTAGCCCTTAAAACCTATGAAATTTGCTCAAAAACAGGATTTCGTATATCGATTTTTACGGGTTGCATAGAAACGGAGCAAGTTATCGATTATCGGAAGCAAATTCGTAGGCTTCCTCTATAGTCGCTAGCTCTATAGTCTCTGAGATCGACGCGTTTATAATTACTGACAGACAGACGGATGGAAGGTAAAGAATATATATATACTTTATGGGATCGCAGATGCTTCCTCCTGCCTGTTACATACATTTGCACAAAAACATTAAACTCGTTTTACCCATTATTAATGGGTTGAGGGTATAAAAAATTGATCACACAAAAACTAGGTTTGTTTTCGATGGCTGCCATGAGATAGTGGTCCGATCAGGCCACCTCTGACACATGTATAAGCAAAGGCCATACGAAAACGGCCTTTCAGTTAAAAGTTCAAAATTTGTCATAGACAGACAGATAGATGAACATGGCTGAATATCAAATCGGCTGTTGATATTGTTATTTTACCTATTTAAAAATCAGTTTTAAAAGAACATGTTTTGACTGATTCTTATGAACTGATATAAAAGTATATATAAAATATTTATCTAAATTGTACGTGATTTAAACAGTATTTCTTCACGTTAGAATCTTCAAGATAATTCTGCTATGCGCTCGTTCTCAGCTAGAACATGAAAAGGGAACAAAATGCATCCCATTTATTTTCATTTTTGGCAACGCAAAAATTTTTCATTTCGCCAAACGCCAAATTGCAAATGGCGGTTGTGTTGAGTGTGTGCGTATGTGTGTGTGTGTTTGTGTATGAGTGTGTTGCCATTGCTGTGGTTGGGCCAAGCAGACACCCCCAGCACTCTCACGCTGCCTTTGTTGTGGTTGATTGGCCAAATCACTTGCATACAGAATGCGCTTTTTGGCTGCAGTCCTGCGGGTGATGCCACCCACATGGCGTATGTTGAAATAGTTGCGGCAAATATTTTCTGATCAAAAAATGTTACAACAATATTTTCGCACTAGTTTATACGCATGTGAAAGTTGCAAGTGCAGCGACAAAATTTTCCACAAACTTTAAAAATAATTTAAGTTGACTAAATAGAAGAAGAAAGGCGACATGATGCATTTTTAATAAGGCCCTTATGCTGATAGACCCTAGAACTTTTAACTAGACGAGGCGTGAGCTCATTGTCGAAAAAAAGAAAAGGTCGCACAGGCCAGAAATTTCCCTGCCGACATTTCAAACAAAAGCGATTTAGGCGCGTGGGTGTCCTGCATGACAGTCACTGACGACTGACGACTGTAGACTGACGTCAGCTGACAGCCGATGCTGCTGTGCACAAAAGCCGTACCCGTGGCAGCCGTCAATGCAGCGGGCGCTGCCCTTTTGTTTCGATGTCATTCACATAGTGTCCATTGAGCGCAGCTAGCAGCCCGTAGTGTTGCATCTATTGACAGGGCTGAGCAAATATAAAAAAACATTTTTAAATCAAGCACAAAAACATAAAAAAAGTCTCTTAAAAAAGCCGAGCATTAGACACGCTTTATAGGCATGCTCATTAAATAGCTCATGTGCTAGTTGCACTCAATAAAATCCCGATCATGATCAATATTTCTCAAAAACAAGCACAAATAACAAATTTGTGTAGAAAGCTTTCATTCAGAGAAACTCAAAATTCGGTCGTTCCAATGGCAGGTGTATTAAGTTCCAATTATAGTATGTAAACTAAATTCAAGGTATTTGTAATAACAAAATATGATTTGTTCCATAAATAGAATTTTCGCAACTAAAATAAACTGTTTGGATATTCACCATTCGTCAAAAAATATATAATACCCGCTGCATAGATGCAAATATGTCGGTGGCATTTGCATTTGCATTCTCGGAAGCTAATTAAGCAAGGTTGTGGTTTCCCTGTGGTTATTGCCACAAAACATATCAGTGGCAATTTGTAAAGCATTTATCTGCAACTAATTAGTACAAATTCCAAAGGGTAAAATGGAGTGTTGCCCTTTCATGGGCAAGATACAATTTCTAATTATGCCCAATTAAAATATGTAGCTAGTGGCAACTAAGTAAATGACATGAACAAGTACTTAGTTCAGATTTAAGCAAATCTACTAATTGTACTAAAGTTCTCTGATATTTTTTCATTACAGCACTTTAAACAATCAGCCCGAACAACTTGACAATAACAACATCGACATCAGGAACAACGGCCCCCACTTAACAAGTTGTTGTTATTAAGCACGCAAGACAGCTTTAGAATGAAATGGAGATGCAAAGTGAGGCTGGTCATGGACCAACATCAGCAACGACACCTGAAGAATCAACAAACGGAACATCTACAACATTCACATACAAGCTACGCGATTTCAATTGTCGTGTGGTACAGCAGACGGCAGAGCACGAGCTCTGGCAGCCATTCATTAACTGCGAGGCAACAACACAAGGCAACAACATCGGCAACAATTACAAAAACAGCAGCAAAACATTCCAATGCACATTGCAAGGACTCAATAGACGCGAGGATAGAGCATTTTATGCGTGCAATGCAGCAGTCGAGGAGGCGGAGGCATCCACATTTAAGCCCTGTTCACTAGAGACGCAACTGTTGTTACAGCACCCGCCCCACGAGGCGTATGCGCAATTTCAGCTGGCAATGAATGAGACCGTTAGTGATAATGTGAGTGATACGCTTAGTTTTAGTGCCGACTGCAATCGACAAGTGCTTCTCTGTGAGCCCAAGGACGAGGAGGAGCACCAGCAAAAGCTGTTATGCCAGCTGCAGCCGGAGCAGGAAACAGCAAGCCCCACCGCCCCCCAGACAGCGACAACATGGCTCGACTATCATATCGAACTGGGCGATAGCCTGTGGTTGAACTTTACCGAGCTGGTGGACAGTGTCGGGGCCAGTAGCATTGGCAGTATCAGCAATGCAACCACCAGCATGGACATGATACTGTCCAACTACACGCTGTCCGACACAGCGCTGACCCCGACAACAACGACAACAGCAGCAACAGACATTGTCATAGCGAGAAGCCCTCTTGACTACTCGCCTCACGGCTACGACTGGCTGTTCCTATTCGTGGTGTTTTTCATATTTGCCGGCGGGCTGGGCAATATACTTGTCTGCCTGGCCGTTGCACTGGATCGCAAGCTGCAGAATGTCACCAACTATTTTCTCTTCTCGCTGGCCATAGCCGATCTGCTTGTCACCTTGTTTGTGATGCCCATGGGCGCCATTCCAGCATTTTTGGGTAAGTCTTATTTGTCTGACACCAATCAAGTGTACAAGCTTACGTAAATTTTCGCTGCATATTGAGGATTTTCGATTTAAAGCAACTCACAAACGTTTTAATAGCTTTTGAATATATTTAATGCCCCTTCTGGCTGTATCGCTATCTCGCAAGTTCATTATTTTGTATTCCTTTATGGCTTATTAGCAATTGATATATGTTATATATATGTGTAAATTATAATTTGTATACCCTGTAGAGCATATTAGAGTTGTGTGATGATGTATGATATATCGGATAAAAGGAAACATCTCCCAACATATTATATTATTATATTTTTCATCAGTCGATTTCGTCCGTTTTTCTGTTGTTGGAATTGGCGAACGAATCGGAGCACTCTATCATACAGCGGCTCTAGTTTTAATTTTGTTTACGTTTTTTCTCTATATTAATTAAGTTCAACAAAATCCTATAAATATTTACGACTGAATTGCTAAGAGAGGTTGCAGCAAAAATGAAAGCACAGACCATTTATTTATATATGAAAGTTTGTCCTGACTGACCGACTGAACATTGACCAACGCACCGGCTAAACCGTAAGAGCTACGATGCTATAATTTTTACTGAAGCATTCTTTAAAGGCCGAAAATGAAAATTTTGCTTACAATTATGGCTTTCAGAAGTGTCAAAGCGACGGACCAACAAGCGAAAGCTGGCTGGCTCAATTCCAGCAGCAGTTCTCACTTTTTATATTTATTTATTCAAATTGTTATTATTCACAAAGAAAATGCATGGAAATAAAATTAAAAAAAAAAAAAATAAGAAATGCAATATAAATGGAAGTTAACAAATAATAATTCGTCCTTTGCTTAGATTTTTTTGTCAACTACAATGCTCTCATATGTATCTTCTGACAGGCCCGAAACAACAGAGAAGAGCAACATATTATTGTTTAATTTTTATAGACATTATGAGGTTTTAAATAAATTAAAAGTAAAGTTTAATTCAAAGTTCAAAGAGAGCCGTCAATACTTTCTTGGCTAGCGTTTAATTAGTATGTCGAATGGGTTAGGACCGCCCGATGTGAAGAACTGGTTCAAGATGTCAATGAACACGAAAGTTTTGATGATTTCAATTTCATTTGTAGCGAATTGATGGGTCGGTAGGCGGTGAGTAATGCGTGGAACGCTTTTGTATATTGAGTTCAAACGATTTCGCTGCTATTCAATTTTCAACAATATCAACTTGACTTTACAAAGCCTGGTAATTTCTTCTATATATGGAATACAAAAAAAAGCTAAATTGGCGCCGTTGTTTGTGTAACTTGTTACTTGTCATATGAAAAAAAAGAAAGGGTTACGCGGGAGGTATTGGGAAGGGGGGCAAGCGATTGCATAGATGCGAAGTGAACACTTTAACGGCACGCAGACAACGGCTGCTCGGAAAATATCTTTAATATTTAAATTGTTTTGAAATTACAATCTAAATCAACTAGTTATCACAAGCGGCTTTTATATTCTGATTCCGATAAAACCTGACACATTGCCAGCTAAATATGTAAACAGTATTATGAACACATTCGAATTCATGCCAGCCTAATTTGCATGTGCCACAGATAAGGTCTGTCTGCTGTTCAGCTGAGCCCAACGTAGCATGAACAGATCAAACGCATAATGGGCGCACATGATGCCAAAAAGTTCACAGCACGTGGCCCACACCTCAGCTATTTGCCCCCACAGAGCAAACACAACATGTTATATATTTTTAGTGGGTTGTTCCCAACCAACCACATTAACAACATTAGCGTATTTCGTTTTATTATCAACGGATTAGTTGTTCAGGCACCGGCTGGCATTCAGTTTAATATAGTCTACTTTTTGTTGCTCTAAAAATGTTTAGTTGACCTTATTTTAAAAGCACTGCATAGGACCATGAAAAAACACGATGTCACAAAAAAAACACCCTATGATTTTATTATTATTATCTTATTTAAATTAAAAAAAAAATATATTCTTTCTTCTCGTACTTTTATTCCCGTCTTCAGTGTCCCGACCCCCTACGCTAATGAATCGTCTGATTGAGGCCTGCCAAAAATACATATTACAGAATTGTAGTTGAAAAAACTATCAAAAGAAAGAAAAGGAAAATATTAATTTTTAGCATTTATTTTCCACGTTTTTGTTGTATTTTCGTTTTTGTTATTATGGTTTTTTGCTTTGTAAATATAAAAAAAGTAATATACGCAAATATAAAAGTTGACAATTGCTTCTGCATTTGAGCCAGCGACTTTTCGCTTGATAGTCGGACGATCAGACATTAAAGTCATTCGGACTCGTCACGTTCTGTTTGGAGATCACAAATTATGTTTATGGTCGCGTTGCTTAAAATGTTTTTCATACAAGCCTTGACCACCGTGTTCCCCCTCTTGCTGGCCAAAATCTCGTTTTAATGCCCACTTTCGACCCAAATGGAAAGTGTACTATAAATTTAATCGGTCAGTCATTCATTCATTCGGTCAGGATAAACTCGTTTTATATGTACAATTATTCAAAAATTAGCTTGAAGCACTTTCAATTAGGATCCAACTGAATCAACTTTTTTCGCCCCTTTGGTCCCGTGCACACGAGTAAATATTGAAGGGGAAAATAAACATTAATTTTCCAATTAGCAGGGGTGAACTATGCGAAATGTGAGATTTACGTTACATATTAAATTTTATAAATATCCTTGGAAATGAGTTTGAGGCCGACCCACCAACTCGTTGACCATCATTCCCACCAACGAGGGCTGGATTTCTGAAAAATGTAAAGCACGTTTCAAATGAATTTTGATAAAGATCTTTGAGAATGAGTTTAAGGCCGATCAGATCTTAAACAAATCAGTTTTAAACAAACGTTTTCCTTCATTTTTTCACACTTGCGGATGAAATCTCCCCAAACCCTGTCTTAGTGTACCCCTTCATCACATAAGGTAACTACCGTACAAATTCCTATTTCTTATGTCTTACGGTTTGATCTTTGCGTTGATCACCAAATAGAAAGTCAGTCGGTCGGGTATTTTACCGATTCAGAAGTCATTTCTTCAATTAAGCTTTTGGACTATGTTAATTGAGGACGGAAGAAAAGTACAAGCTGACAGTCAAAGAGCTGGTAAATAAGTTGCTTAGGGACACTTCGGTGCGCATAATGGACTTCAACTTCTTTTCGGGCGTAATTTGCGCTTAAAGCCTTTCAGCGCCGACTTTCTGAGTCCTTGATTCAGCCAAGTTAATCCTTGGCGTCTTGTGCACTCTTGTATGTACATGCTCTGGGCTGGATGTTTGGCGCTTTAATTTCTGGCATTCTTTACTTACGGTCTTGTTGATTTTTGGTTTGCACTTTGGCCATGCCACGAGCGCGCTTTATGCAACAGTTTTCTGCAGCTGGTGCACTTGCGAATTTCTCATTGTGCCACTTATGTACATTTGAGACGCCTCCCCAGCTACCGCTGCTGCTGCGGCTCAGGGCAGGGTCTTTGTTTTCACGCTCAAGTTGCTTGCAGACGACGATAGCAGGCGCAAACTAAATGTAACTAAAAGCCTTAAACGTAAGCCTTAAATAAACCGCGACAACAACAAAAACACCAAACAGCTACCTGCCCGACAATTATGCTGTAAATGGCATCAAGAAACGGTTGAGCTGCGTGCATTTGTGCATGCACGGAAAAAATTGAATGGGCCCAATTACGTTTTTGTACCCTTCTTCTGAGTTGCGAAAAAAATCGGTATTTTAGTTCAAATTCTTTAAAAATATATTTAAGTGGAGGATCAAAATTTACTTTCTCGCGTTAGTTAAGCCGCTTTCAACTGCAAATAGACTAACATTAAGAATCCTTGAATTGAAAATGTGAGCTTCCGCAACTTCCGGCAGTTGATTTTTTTCAGTACCATTTGAGTTCTTGCTGGTTAATTTTTATTTTGCTCACGGCCGAGATTTACGCTTGGTTTACGCTTCGTCTTTAAAACGCCATAAAATAGTTGCTGATTTTTACGTCAGCTGCATTGCCGTAAAATTTATAATTCGAGCACCGAACTATAAACTAACCCGCGGATAATGCCTATAAAATCAAATGGCATAGCGCTCATCATCGTTTAAGTGTTATGCTATCCAAATTCGATCGCAGCAGATGCAGTAAGGCAACAGCTCGAACCTAATAAACTATTTATCACAAATTTCCAAGCTTTGTCTCTAATTTAAAAGAGGAAGAGAATATGGCATTCTGTAATGAGTTTTACTTTCTGATCTACCATCGGAAATAAATTACTCAATTTTGCGAAACTTCTACTTAAAATTGTACGGAGTTATCAAAAGCGGAAGGGACCCTTGGTAGATATAAGTCAAATATTTATGACTTCAGCAAACATTGCTATATATGTTTTTTCGTCCTTTTAAGGATTTAAGCTCTTTGCATTTTACTCATGGATAAAAATCAATAAACTTGAAAATCCAAAAACTCGAAACAAACTATTCATCACTTAATTAAAAATATATTTATAGGTGAACCTTTACACATTCGTTTGAGCATGTTTTAGCCCCACCTGCATGTCCCAGACACTTGAGACCAAGCTCCGGACAACATGTCGTATACGCAATAAATACATTTGCAGCTCTTCATGTGAATTTGTATGCGTGTGTTTGTGTGTGTGTTTAAGTGACATGCATATAAAACAAAATACGACATGTGAGCCCAGATATGTTCTCTCATCATCGTTTTTCTCTGTCGCATTCGAGTGTGTGTTAAGTGTGCTGAGTGGGCGCGTCTGTGTTTGTCTGTTTCATTGTCTGTGTGCGCCAGGGTCCTACAATTAGCAAACTGAGGCCCACGCAGCGGGCCTAATAGCGTGTAACGACAAACAACAACAGGCACGCATTTAAGCGCAATTTGTACTAATTAATGCAGGATTTGCCATTGGGCATTGGATAAATATAAAGCGCGAAACCAACTCCGTCAGTTTGACATATTTAACCAGCTCGCAAACTGAAACGGATTCAGTTTGCAATTCTCCTTGTTTGTCGTTGCCTTTTAAGTTTCTGCTCAATTACTGATACTTCATCCATCGCGACTTTAAAGCGATTTTATACAAATTTCAGTCAGTTGCCAGTGTCAGATTTATAGCTTAAGTGAGACACACACACACTCAAAGCTTCTTCTTGTAGACGAATATTTTATTTAGCCGCGGATAAGCTGCGACTGTTTAGCTGCTTTCCTTGCATATTTGTAGGATGACGTGAAAAGTATAACTGCTCAAACGTTTATAATAATGCAAGAACTCAATTGCAAAGGCCGATGTGTCTGATATTTATGAAATTTTGCTCATATGCTAGGTGCAAAGTGAACCTTGCAAAAGCTCATTATGTAGGAGAAGAAAGAAAATTAAAAAAAAGCTTGTAGTAGGGCCAAGAAACAACAAAAATCTTTATATGAAGAATCTACAATAAAGATCTAAAAAACGTTTATACTGCTTGCAACAAAAAGCTGAAGGCAACATTCAGACTGCATTTAATAGGAAGGGACAGAGACAACAGAATATATATACTCATTCAGATCATAGATGTCTTCTTCTTGAATTAGTGCCTAATTGTTATACTCCGTGCAATGGCATACAAAATGTTTAAATGTCACACGCAGTTTCTTAAGCTATGGTAACGATTAATTTGTTTACAATTTAAATTAACAATACAGAATTTGCTACATCTATGCAATGCAGCGTACAGGATATTTCTCAAACATATTTCATTTGCTTCTTCCCAAGGATAGACAGGATAATTAAAAATAAGTACATGTGCGAGCTTTCGAGATTCACAAGTATCAGACAGTTAGACCAAATTGTTTAGTCAAATTGATTTAAGCACAATACGAACAAGTGTTACACTAAATATTCCTCGAAATTGAAATTTACAAACTCTGTCCGTAGCAGAAATCCAATCGATGCAAATGAATTGAGCGGAAGTAACCCGCACTAAACAATTCCCTTTCATTGCAATGGTTTTTTGTCATTCGTTTAAGTCAATGTGCATTTGATTTTCCGTTGGCTTTTCTTTTTCTTTGCTTTCTTTTCATTTTAACTCTCTGCTGTTCATTTCCATTTCAATTAACTTTGATTTGCAGTCGCTTTCATTAGCAGATGATGGAGACAGCCCTGTCAGATCTCTGCCTCCTTTGACCGTCGGTAATCTTCTATCATCCATTGCAGGCTATTGGCCACTTGGCTTCACCTGGTGCAACGTCTATGTGACCTGCGATGTGCTCGCCTGCTCGTCGAGCATATTGCACATGTGCTTCATCAGTCTGGGCCGCTATCTAGGCATACGCAATCCGCTGGGCTCGCGACATCGTTCCACGAAGCGTCTGGCTGGCATTAAGATAGCCATCGTCTGGGCCATGGCCATGCTGGTGTCCAGCTCAATAACAGTGCTGGGTAAGCTGAAGGCCTCCAGCTCGCATGATCTTGAGCATCGCACTGATCCTTACTTATTATACTTGCAGGTCTGGTCAATGAGAAGAACATAATGCCGAAGCCGAATGTGTGTGTGATTAACAATCGCGCCTTCTTTGTATTCGGCTCGCTGGTGGCCTTCTACATACCGATGCTGATGATGGTGTCCACATATGCACTCACCATTCCGCTGCTGCGCAAGAAGGCGCGCTTTGCAGCCGAGCATCCGGAGAGCGAGCTCTTCCGTCGGTAAGTGGATTGAAAGCTTTCGTACCGCGTCTGCACACAAGTAAATGCAATTAGTTGCTCTATTGGCTCCAGCGCACAGATTTGTGCCACCTTTGACCAGTCACCAATGGTCAATGGCCAACGGACGGCAGCTACAATTGGATTCATCCGCAAATCGATACCAATAAATTATTCGCAAATGAAAATGCCATTAAGCGAAACGCTCCCAAACAACTGTCACAACTAGTAACCAAATACGGGCCAACAGCGGTGCCCACACGGCGTATGAGTAATAGAATTTTAGTACTTATTTCACACCGCCACGCGAAGGGCTCTGCGTTTGGCATTGTTACTCGGAGAGGGATGCTGATTGCAATTGGCAGGCTCCCCATATAAATTAATTCAAACTATCCAAAACAAGACGAAAGTGGCAACAGAAGCAGATCAGCTCGAATTTGCTTAATGTTGTGCTATAGCTTGCACATTGCTGACATTTTTCGGATTGCCCAGAAATAAAAAGGGGTTGATAAAGTAGATTTTGCTAATGATCAGACCGTAGAATTAAACTTTTTCAAAATTTAAAGCAAATATTAATTATTTGAGATATAGGCCAATTTTTCAAGTCAATGTCTTGGATTTTGTAAAATTCTGTGAAACATCATATGTAGCCAATAGAAAAAAATGCTTTTTATATACCAACTTGTCTGTAAAGCGCCATGAGTTTTCATTGTTCCTTCCTTGCGTCATAAAAGGTAGCTAGCTTAAAGTTTTTAAGATTAACTGATTTATTGACTCACTCACTGGCAATCAAAGCGTTGACTCAATGGAAGCACATCCAATCAGCGCATAGATTTTTCATCAGTATTTTGCCTCATCCTCTCTCTATTTGACTAGGCTGGGCGGCCGATTCACGGTACGCCCGCAGCACAGACAGCAACAGTTGCAGATGCACAGCAGTTTAACTAGCGATAATTACAGCAACAACAAGTGTCTGGCCATGGGTGACAGCAATCGGAACTTCAACAATGCAGCCACTGGAGTAGGAGCCCGAACAAGATGTACCAGCACGGGCGGGGGTGGCAACAACAATGACCCCTCGGAGCGACCATTGATGCAGCAGCGAGCAACCAGCAATCGAGTCATCGGCAGCGTCAGTTTTCGCCATGGGGCCAGTGGAGGTGGCTCTGATGGCGGCAGCGGAAATATGTCCAATATTGGACGCAATAGCTTCCGATTTGCTGGCGGCGGCATCTTGCGACAATCTTCTCCGTCACCGAGCACCTCATCCACATCGTTTTCGGTGCGTGGCAATTCCCAGACGAGCAGCTTCTGGCGCAAACACGGTGGCAATCCCAACTTCATGGACAGGTAAGTTTCCCCCTCCCCCTCCCCTCCCTCTCCCCACCCCCCACCACTACAACGGCCATTTAAAACTTTAATTAGCTGCAATATTTGCATTCCACTTACCGTCCAATCTGCATTCAAATGACGCAAACTGCGGTAAACAGCATCTGATTTAATTAAATTGTCTGCTATTGGAGTAGTTCCGGGAATTTGAAATTAGTTGGTCCGATTTCAAGATGGATATAAACTTTGCCATCGTTCTGATTGACGTGTTTTGTGAACAAATAAATAACCTGCCTTTCACGTATCCGTGAATATTTTCTGAACTTTGATTTAAGTTGAATTAAATATGCATAAAAGGATGAAAATGCAACTACTTGTCGGAGCTAATTTGGAACGGGTACATTAAGCATTTTTTTTTTTAAATGTAACTCTACAATGAGTTTTTTTCTTCTTCGGTAAATAAGCTGTCAATATATCAATCATTCAGAATAATTACACCTGTATAATATATGGGTGTATCATTATCTGCAGGTCATGCTACATGTTTGTTTATTGTTTTCCTCAACTACAAAAAATTAGACATAATAATGATTATAATAATAATTAGAAAATTAAACCAACTCCCTGTGAAGACAAACCTTTATGTCAAATTTTTCGACAGTCAGTCAGAGTCAGTCTTATAGCAATTCGTCCTTTGAGCTTGTTAATTTATGGAAGATATTCTGCTTCCTCTCCAGTTCGAGAGCAGCAGCAGCTTACACGAAAAACCATTGGCAAATTTTGACCCTTCCAGGCAGTCCATGAAATTGGAGCGACAATGTTCTCGGGTGCTCATTAACTAAGATGGCAATCAGTTCATTTATTCGGGCAATGACAAATCGCAAGCCACAAAATGTTGCAGGGGCCATCACCTGCGACATTTGTGGCCTTGGCGTGAATTTGCCACCTTTGCCTTTTGGCTAGATGTTGCCAATTTGTGTATAAATCATGCGGCATATGTGCGGGAAACACTCGACAAGGCGAGTCGAGACCTACAGACATTTATTATCAGTTGAGCATACAAGCTTTAAAATTTATTACATTTGTTTAGCATGGCAGCAAATAACTTTTTCCGACTACTTTTCCAAGAAATTTGCATAATTTACATTGTAAGTGCAAAGCATTTTGGCTTCGTGTTTGCCCCAGGTTCAAGTTGGATGCGAGGCTGTGAGAGAAATAACAAATACAAATTGAGTTCTATTTTGACTTTGCCTTTCGGTCCACTACTCTTGCCTCAACCGAACGGTTACCTTTTTCCCTGAATACCTTTTGTTTTTGGGTTAGTCACAAGTCTGGGGCCAAGCGCGTGGCAAGGGATTTTCATTTGTTTGCCTTTCGTTGACATCAAGTAAACAAGGACTTTGAATGCTTAAAAGGAACCTCGATTATTGACCAAACTAGCTACCTAATGATCGACTAGTTCGAAATGCAGTCGCGTGTTGAATGTGTTACTTAAGAGGTATTAAAGTTTATTCAGCATACTATAAGTCATGGCCAACTGGCTTAGTCCTCATATTGCTGACACTAGAACTTCTTTTACTGTGTTCTTATAGTTGGAAAAGAAAGTATAGTATATTAATAAGGGGTCAAGGTTTAAAAAGTTCTTAAGTCTGATATTTTATACAGTTGACTAGCCCCGACTTAAAGCTATGACAATCTCTTTGTGCACATTTTTTCCGTGTGTCTTAGATGTAATAAAATGTATGTGCAATTTTGTATTTATTTATTTTTTTGGCTAGATATTTAGACGGTTGACTGCACTCAGGTGGTCTTGGTTATATTAAAGATACACGTTTTATATCTTCGTTCTTATAATAATTTATTAATAGTATGTATGCCAATTATTTATTATAAACAAATAGAACGTCAATCCAAGCAGATGCATGCAACTTGTATAATTAATGCACATAAGTTCGTGTTTAGTTATTGCACATGTGTTATCAATTCATTTTGCATTAAGCAAAACAATCAATTACGCATCTTTATGCAATTAAATGCACATTCAAGTGTCACACAACATGGCGAATACATAATTTTCTTGCAAGCACTTGCGAGGCGCCATAAACATAAATCACTCATGCGTCATGTGGTGCAGCACCAAAAACAAAAAAAAAGAGCACACAAAACACGAATCTGCTTGTCGGGCCATGGTCTACATCCCACATTGTTGTGTGCAAGAGAGAACAGGAGTTGCCGCTGCTGTTGCTGTGGCAACAATAAATAGCGCATAAAATGAAAGAGGGAAACCGCAAAGAGGACGACCACAGCATGAGATGGAGCAATGCAACAATGTTGCAAGCGGATAACGACAAAAGGTTCTTTCCACAGCAGCCAAAATTTGCCACCGAAATTTGCAAATGTCATTGCTGTTTGCTGCAGCAACCGTTGTTGCCATTTCTTGCATTAATGCAACGGTGCAAAATTTTAGCTTAACCAGCTGCAGCAAGTCAAACTCTCTCCAAGACACGTCCCAAAAAAAAAAACGCAAGCCCGCTGAGCTGAAAGTCACGTCTATGCGCTTTGCCACGGATTTGTGCCGCACAAGTTGACGCATAAATATATGAATTTGTAATGAGACAGGCCCTGAAAATCACCCCTCTGCCCAGGTATAAGCAGCAGCAGCAAAAGCCACCAAGGCTGCACAAAGATGCCCAAACAAAAAAAAAAAGACAGAGAGTACAAAAAACTTTCTTATTTTCCTTTTACTTGCAAATTATTAGTTAGACTTTTGACGCCACTTGGGTGCCCCTTTTAGATATGCTCCATGTCGCCAGCCAAAAATTGAAAAACTTCTGTTTTATTTGCCGTACTGCAACAGCTGCAAAGTGCTCCTGTAAATTTGATGCCAACTGCCCGCAGCCAGGGGAATGCGCTAGATGCGCCAACAACACCCAACAAGTTGGCAATGAATTTATAACTATTATTTTAATAATAGCTATGGTCTACTCTGGAGATTCTACAACTTATGGTCAGCTGTTTGGAGAACTTACCCAAAAACTCGCTAAGACTGCAAGGCATATACAAATAAAAAAATATATGCGACTGCCCCTTTTATGATTATAGAAGACTTTTTAGTTCATCGTATTATAAATGCAACTGCATTGGAATCAATCGAAATTCTGATTGATCAATTCGCTGTTATTTAACATGTATGATGGGTAAGAGGGATGTAATGTCCTTCTGTATGAACACTTCGAACTCGGAAACTATATTAAGCCGAAGTTTGAATTTGAAATGTATATATATATTCGTATATCATATGCAAAACGAGCTTATCTTTTTATGTAGATATCTCGTCCCATTTTTATAAAATTGATTTAGAGACTTGGCACTTGAGGCATAACTATATATACCAAACTTTGTATTATGACTCTGCCAAAAATTGAAAGAAAAGATAGGACCTTTTGGTATATGCCCTTCAATTTTCATAAGGATCGGACTATAAATACCGAATGTATTTAAAAACACATTTACAGAAGCATTTGCTTAAGTGTATATGTATATACTATATGTTTTAGTGTATGTATAAAAGGGAAGTTAGAATGTTTCTAAACGAATCTCGGCGCGGCATTCGGGGTATTCCCTAGTCGGGCACTCCCGACTTGGGTACTCTTGCTTTTTGCACATTGAAGTATATTTGACTTTTATAATGATATCTTCTGGCCTCATATTTCTATATAAATACATAAATTTCCTAAAAAAATCATTTACAGAATGTCTTTACACATAAATACAAATTCTTTTGTGGCTTACAACCAAATTCCATTAAATTCAAGGGAATCTATTATCCTATAGCTATCAAATGTTGTTTTTAAAATTTAAGTTGATTAATCAAACATTCGGCAAATTTTATACAAGACTATTTTATCGTAAATATACATAGGGATTAAATTATTAAGTAAAATGAGCACATTTTAATGACAATAACGTTAGCTTAGGATGTTTCGCCAAGCTTGGTTGGGACTAAAATAGTTTAGTTTTCTTAAACTTAAATAAGTACTGAAAATACGATACGAATGTTTAGTTAGGCTCACAGAAGTTGCTCTGCATAATATTTGGCTATACAGCTTACATTAAAATACGCCTTAAAGTTAGTCAACCCTCAGCCAAGTCTTTTCACCATTTTTCGCCATTTGGTGAGCTTAAGTGAATCCGCCAACTGCCTGGAAACATTATTAGCATGCAATTTTATAAACTGTTGCGCTCGACGTGGGCGTCCGGAGCTCGCAATCAAAAGACTAAAATCTAATATCAAATACTCGTTGCTGCAAAGCGAAAAGAAAACACAATGAAAATACGTGAAGCAACTCATCCAACTTCCCCTTCCATTTGACAGTCATCCAAATCGACGCGCCACGGTGCGTAGCAGCGTTTCTCAGCCACAATTGGGTTATGCGACAAATGGAAACGGGGGAAGTGGAGTCGGGGCCGGAGGCAATCTAACTGGCGGAGCAACAGGTGCGACAACGAGCTGCATAACTGCTGAAGGCGGTGGCAACGGTGGCGCAAACAGAATGAGCATTGCCACCATACAAGCACAAGACGGTGGCAATGTCAATGGCAATGGCAATGGCAATCATCCACTGGAGCAGGCAACGACAATGACGACGACGACGGCGGCGAGGATGGGCCAAAGGGCGTCAGAGGAGCGACGCTACAAGCTGCGTCCCTTTAAATTTGCCCTAAATCGTGTCGCCGCGCCCACGCTCAACTTGAGGTGAGTACGGGCTGGCCATATAACTCAATTTCCAAGTGATTTCTTTCGCCAGATTTCTCAATAGTCGCGCCAAGCGCAACAGTCTCTCGGCGAATGCGGTCGCGACGGAGCAAAAGGCAACCAAGGTCCTGGGCCTGGTCTTCTTCACCTTCGTGCTGTGCTGGTCTCCGTTCTTCATACTGAACATAATATTTGCCGCCTGCCCCGAGTGCCAGGTGTCCGAGCATGTGGTCAACACATGCCTCTGGCTGGGCTACGTCTCCTCGACGATCAATCCGATCATTTACACCATCTTCAATCGAACATTTCGAGCGGCCTTCATACGCCTCCTGAAATGCAACTGCAAGCGGTAAGTGCTTTAGGCGCGGATCTGCTAAAAATGTGAAGCGAAACTACAAATTTTCATTTTCTATGTCGGCTGTAATTTATTGTAGTGCACTTCAGAACTACACTTAAAGCAAAGCCATTGCCCATTGTTCAGGCGATTGATGTGCAACGTGACGTATGATTGATTTTTCCGATTTGTGTTTGCCAATGAAATCAAGACGATTTATTACTGAAAGTCCGAATGTGTGAAAAATGCACCAATTGATGCATGAACAGAGATTAGTTAAGTGCAATACGATAAGGCAACAAAAAGGCGAAAAGTACATAGAAGCTCAAAACCGAAGCCTGTGAAGTGTGATATGACTTACGTGAAGAGTGAGCAATATATATATATATATATATATATATATATACTAGCTGGTATTTGCCTTGCCCAAACCAAGTTGTATGCTTCAAGTTTGTGATATCAACTTACCGCCTGTGTCTGTAAAAAATGTGTAAAATTCGAACTTGAAAACAAGATTTCGTTTATACAACATTTGACAAGATCTCATCCCAGAGGTGTGGATTTTGCGTTAAGTATGAAGCACTTCTTAAAAAATTTTCTAAATATATTTGCAAAGGAGTTTGAGGTCAACCGGGCGATAAGCAAAAAGTGTCGTAAAACCGCTTTCTGCTATTTTTCCACACATACGAGTGGAACTCAAAAATAAATTTAAGGCTGGTCGGACGAATCTTAAGACTTCATCCAACGAATTCGTGACCCCCATTTTCCGCACAGAAGCAGTGGATTATACGAAAAGTGTGAAACAAGTCTCAGATGGATTTTTAAAAATTTCTTTCCTTTCCTAGCTCTTACGGATGTGCGTTAAATACCAACCTGTCAGTCATTTAGAATATAAATATATTTTTTTGTTTTATTTACGAATTGTCACGCTCAGGACACTTAATTTAATTTAATTTGTTCATCCGCCGGGTGGTCGAAGCGGTAGGTTTAGGGATGGAAGCCTTATAAATCTGCGAATTTCCTGGTTTATTGCCAGGTGAGTTTCGTGTTGCCGCAGACGGTTGACATGCTTAGTGCTGAGTCTAGCAAACTTTTTGTTAATTATTACATAGCGAAAAGCCTTGCCAGAAAACTAAGCGTCGAATGTGAATTTCGCTTTTATTTCTCTGGCTATTAATATAAGAAGTTTGTAAATAGAGATTTTTATTGCACAGTTCTTGGTAGCATAGAAAATGTTTTTCTTAGAAAATGTTCTGCAAATATGATAAAACTATATAAAATAGAAGCATCATAAATGCAATTGATTTCACTATAAAAAACATTCAACGATTTGGCCAACGCACTTTTTATGTTCCATTTCGCAGAAAGATATTTCGTAATCCATATTAAACTGCTTTGTTCTGCCTGACTGACTGACTGACTGACCACTCTCGGGTAAAAACTGTCTTGCATGAAGGAAATTTAATTTGTTCGCCTTAAGCGTTGGATGTGTGTTCCACATTGATGTCTTAAATTTAAAACAAGAAACTTGTTGTATGTATTCAAATATTCATACACGCATATACACATACATACGTACATACTCAAATACATGAATGTAAATACATCCAAACACATATGTACAAGATAGAGGAACGTCTCAGGCTTTTCCCGTGGAAAGTCTTATGCTTAAAATAGATATCATTTTATTATCCAGTTACCGCCCGTTGGTATCATCAGTTTAAATCTTGTGGTGAGAATCTTGAAACCGAAAAAAAAACGTTCGTTCATTAAACCTTTGGCCCGCATTTTCCACCCAATACCTGTGGATTTTGTGAAAATGTATCCACCAAAAGGTGTGAATTTATGACAATGATTTTGAATCTGGTCAGATGGTAAAGAAAACACTATCAGACAACCGTTTTTGACCAATTTACCACAATTGTGGATGGAATTTCCCAAATCGCTGAAATTCGAATTTATTAAGTTCTTATGAAGAAAGGGCTTTGAAAATAAGTTTGAAGCCAATCGAGGAGGCTTGGAATCTGCGAAAAATGTGAAACACGTCTCAAATGAATCATTAGGAGAAACGAATTTGAGCCCATAGCTTCACCTACTAAATCTTTGAACCCCAATTTCACCAAGGAGGGATGCATTTTCCGAAAAGTGTGAGGCACCCATTACATTAATAAGTATAAAAAAAGATTATTAAAAATCAATTTGAGGCCGATCGGATGCGAAACAAATAAGTTATATAAAAATTTTTTTTTATTTTTTTTTCACACTTCCTGTTGAATTCCTTAATTTGCTTAACATACATCTCCATCACATAAGCTAACTATAGTACAAATTTCATCTCCCTAACTCTTACGGTTTGGGCGGTCAGTCAGTCAGTCAGACTAAACTTTTTTTTTATATAGAGATAATATGAACATTAACATGAACACAAAATAAAGTCCGCTCAAGCGAAAACTATAATTTAATCTTTTTGTGCAAGCACTTTGCCTAAACAGACTCTTTCCGTTTCAAAGTGACATAAATTGCAGAGCATGAACAATGTTTTAACTTTTTAAAGACAAGAAACATTTCCACAAGCAAAAGTTACAATCGATTACCTAACTCTAAAAAAGCAAGAGTGCTCTAGTCGTCTTGTCGACAGGGGGATACCCTGTAACTTCATCTTTCAACAGAAAGAGATCGACGCATTCGTTCATACGGACAGACAAATATAGATGTTGACTAAATTATGGGTTCTGACCAAGAATAAATATACGTTATGCTGTCGGAGATGCTTTCCTCTGCCGGTTACATACATTTGCACATAACCATTATACCCTTTTTGCCCGCTTTCAAAGGGGTTAAATGTTGGCCATGAATTGTTTTTAAAGAAAATTTGCACCTATCCAAAACAATTTTCGTTGTATGCCGGCAAAATAAATTTTCCTCAGACTTTAAAAGTGTGGACATGAACTTGGTGAATAATAAAATATTAACTTCTCCTCACATTGACAATTTCATTGCAGCTCGGGCCGCCCGTTACGCTATCGCTCCGTGACCGAAGGACGCAGCGCCCTGAGCTTGTGCGCCCCCTCGGCCCTGCCGATGGCCATCTCGTTTCAGGGGGCTCCTCTAATGACGCCATCCACGACTAATGCGACGCCGCTCAGCGAGTTCCGGGGCAGTTATACCATCAACGATGACGAGTGATGAGCGAAACGGAACGGAACGGAGCGAGTCGGGCAAATACGAATTTATGGGCGATGTTGTTAAGAAAGTGCAAGTAATCGAATGGACGGATGTGGAATTGATAGCCAGATGAAATTATTGAGCAAACTTCAAACTGTACTTTAAGCATGTAATCAAATGTAAACTACAGGGTGATTTATTCAGAATCAAACCAATGGCGATTAAATAATCGCCGACTTCTTACAAATGTAGCAACTGTACCTAGAAAAAGAAACGCTAAACTTCTTAGTAAACTTCATCATATCATCAGACAGCCGGAAGGAGGAGTATATTGTGTGTATTAGTAAGGCGTGACTGTACCTGTCATATTTCATGCAATCACATTATAGCTTTTAGTCAACTGTACTTACTATCTTAGCATTTCAGAAACCTCTGATTACAGATTACATATACATATATATATATTTTGAAAACTATTTAAAACTAGTATTAATGTTTATAAGTGTTTGTTATTAACCGTAGCTGTGCTTATTAGTCACTTGAATTAGTTATGTGTTAAACCTAATTGTAATTTAAACAATTATAAACTAAATGTGAAATTTACTTTTACTGATAAGAATTTCCAAACTGTCTTGACACCGCAATGTCGAGCATTCCAATGTCACGGCAGCCAATTTCTTATTTTATATTATGTGTGTAGCAGCTAGCCTCTAGGAATAACTCTAATGTCATGTGTCAAAATATGAAAAAAGATATGGTAAATATATGAATAAAGTACATACCTTACTAAAAGACATCACATTTAAATTATTTACATCTAAGGAAGTGAGTGCAAAAACTTGTTAAAAGAAGTTGGGGATGCTTTTATTTTCTTGACGTGAAGTACAAGTATACAAGAATTCCTAATCTAATATATACGCTTCGTCGCCGACAAGAACTGTACTCAGTCTGTGGATAACACCAATGGCCTTTAAAAATAAGTTTCCTAATAAATAAAGTGCAGCTGGAAGTCCATTTGAGGGAAAACAGGGGAGATTAATATACTCCTAAAGATGGATTTATCATAATGTTTAGATTTTTGAACAAAATAAAACTAAAAGTGTCTTAAAGTTTTATTTATATGTTTTAGTATATTTCAAAAATATTCAAATATAAAATACGTTTATATGTATTATATGGTATATATGTATGTATGCCAATCAGCTGTGTTGTTTACTTTTGCCGGAACCCGCTTACGATTGAGAGTGACAATGATTGTGACATTGGATGCAGAACCACACCATATGTCACGCTTTAGGCACACATAATCAAGATCTTTGAGCATTAGGCAGACTCTGTGTCAGTCACTCTCGCACACATAAACCACATGCAACTGCTGTCTGTGTCGTTTGCTTTGCAGCTCGACAGCACACAGTTTCCGCCAGTCGATGGCATTGCAGCCCATAAGCACATTTGGTGGCTTCCTAGCTGTTCCATCGATGCGTGCTGCGTAAGTAGTCGGAGCAGGAGGCGGGTGTCGGTGCCGTCGTGCCGTCGTGCGTGCAATTCTCGTGAAAGTAATGAAAATTGCATTATTGCCATGAGTTTAATGCAATTCAAATGCTTTTACGATCAGAGCAGCGAAAGTTTTTCTTATTCCCCATTAAGTGCAAAATGTAATGCACCGAAAATTGGACAGATCGACAGCGCAGCAGCTCCGAGACGAGACGGACACACAGCCAGTAAGCACTTCGAGTTGTCTAGTCTTGGAGTAATGAAAATGAAAAAATTGTGTTGCATATCTCGTGGGGCGTGCCGAAGCAGCTGAGCTGTTGACTAAGCGCTAAAGCGACGACGGCCGCAAAGTGCACGACAAAATGGCGTCGCCAGGCGACGAAAACAACAACAACAATGTTGCTGCCGACAATTATATTGTATGGGCAACAGCAGCAGGCAAAAAGAATGTGCAAGAGTAAGATGAAGGCAAGTATGTAAGTAGAGAAAATGTGTGGAAGCGTGAAATTGATTGCCCCGCTGGCATTCGCTCAGACCTCATCCTTAAACTGCTTGCAGTTTATTTGCTTTGGCTTTCGCTTTGGCTTTCGCTTTGGCCTTGGCTAATGGCTGTTCTGGGTGTACAATTTTTAATTTGCCGACACCTACAAGTCGCCAACTTAAATGAATCTTTAACCTATCAACAGCTAAGCATTTGCATCTCCAGATAATGGTGCGAAATAAAAACACATCCGCAAATAAAAGAGAAAACAAGCGCTGATCGTTCAAATTTGCACATTTTCATAAGAAAAGCTCATTACCTGCCGGATTTGGCTTATTTATTATGTGACACACACAGACGCACAGTCATGCAGGGAATTGGCATTCGACACTTTGACGCTTCATTAGCTTTGAGTCTGGCGGGTTGATGTGGGCCAAGCGTGAATAAAATACAAATGCGATTCGTGAAGGCATTTTCCTCACATACGATTTGGCATTTATTTTCGAATTGATTTCATCACGATTGCTATTTTTGTATATTTTTGTTTAATGTCACGCAATTTTGATATGCCTAAACACTCTAGAGTTATTCACTTACATATTTAAATATTTATTTACTTAAAATTTTGAACAATTTTGTATTCAAATACATAAATTATCTCTACGGGTGTCATTTGAAATAGGTTTCCCTTTATCACTTTGATAATAGTCTTTTATCTTTATACTACAACTGAATTTTAAGCATCCTTTTTTTATAAAGTCTGACAAACCGTTGAAATATATATTTAACAAGAAATAGAAAATGAAATTTTCAGGGAATAAAATACAATTAACATGAAATTGTTTCGTGCACTAGAAAGAACCATGTTAAAAATTTCTAGTATTTAGCTTATAGTCTCTGAGATCCATAGATTCAAGGATCGACTCGGCTATTGATGCTAATCAAGAAGCTATGTAAATACTCTTTGGAATCGTTCTAGCCTCCTATTCCTGACCTATTTCCTATGAGTTCAGGATATTAAATCATTTAAAATCTATTTGAGTTTTCAAATATTATTCAAAGATAAATAAATATGGTGTATATTTGCCTTCCTTTAACAACTAAAGTATACTATAACGAGAATGCTTTTTACAATGAATTACATAAAAACAATAATGAAAATGCAAATAAGTATTGTTATAATAATTGAAAATATTCATAATAAAAAATTTTATTAATAATGAAACAAATATAACAACAATACATTCAGATAACTGCGGAAGGCTTTCTGGCTTATCCAAAATTGCAAATGAAAACAATGTTATATGTGGATTTGTGTGCATGTGTGTTGTAGATGTGCACACTAATGCGATGTGACTGCTAGTTGAGCATCAGCCTGCAATTATTGTTCATTTTGTTACTGCCGTTGTGTTGTTTTAGCACCCACTGTTTTTGTTTGCTCACACATACACACACCACACACCATGCGTGTCCCTTAGCTGCAGTTCCCCGAAGCGAAGCCGGGGAAGTCATGCATGTAATGGATAAAAGCATCTGTCGGAACCGCTATATTAGCACTCGTCCTTTGTTTCAGTAATTAGCCACGGGTTGCTAGCAACATTTGATATTTTATTCTCAAATAAGTACATCTTCTTTACGGCCACACGTAGATTAAGGTCGCGGGCTCTTGACTGCCGCTGACGCATTTGGCCTGTAATCCGCAAACACAAAATGGACCTAAAGCTGGGCCTTTTTCACCTGCTAACTGACAGGCCACCGCGTCTTAGGCAGCCCCTTTGTCCACAATCCACTTTTGGCGCCAGATTAGTCAAATTGGTTTCTCGGCTGCCTTTTTCGCGTTTCCAACTGCCACCTGATGGCCGAGTTATGTGCTCTAAGCCACCAGGTATTACACGGCGGCAATGCCGGCAGCGCTGATAAATTGAAGTCTTGACATGGTGGCAAAAAGCCGTGACTGTAATTCTGTAGACGAAAATTATGGAAATCAAATCAAAGCGACGCAAAAAAAAAGTTTGATTTGTAAGGACCATGAATAGAGAGAAGAAGAAATGTATTTACTGCAATTAAATTTTAATGTAAGCTCTGCCTATTTCTTTTTCTATTTTTGATTTTGTTTAAATCGACCAGATGATATTAGAATAAAATACGACAAAATTTACCTCAAAACAAGGAAATATGTAATTTTTATTTTAAGAAAAAACGTAGTACGTAATACAAGGAAATATAAAATTCTTTAACATTTTTATGAAATATAGTTACACATTTTTATGAAATGCATCTGAAATCCCAGACAGAAGTTGTTGCTGTGCCTTTAAAATGTATATTGATAATTAATAGTTGCACATATTTTGCAGTGATCTCACTTTCAGGACTTTAAATATAACCTATTAAGGACCTCTTGCATTTCTGTGAGAAAACATTGCAACTACTACATAATTAATGCGATTACTACATAAATTAAAGCTTTTTTTAGCTAAGATCTGGCAACTTACCCTTATGTGAAATTCATTTCCCTTTCTTGGCAATATCATTAGCAACATTTTGTGCTTGCTGTCTAGAGAGGCAACCCTTTTGGGAACCAAAAAGGTGGGCACATAAATTGAATTCCCTAATTATGCAGCAACGTGTCGGGCGGCAACATTTGCTAATTGCTTATAAATTGTTGAATTGTTTAATGTTTTTAACAGCTGACTGGCAAAAAGGGGTTAATGACGAGCGTCCCACGAGGACGATAACTTCAGCTAGGACACATTGTGGGCGGAAATTCACGCCGTGCCGGGCAATTAAGAGGCGCAACAAATGGTCATTCTGTGTTAATTAGCCGGCTGCCTAGTGGCTGCTGCTGTTCCCGGTGATTAGTTACAGCCATCGCATATTGATGCCAGCTAATCGCATTGAGCAGCAGCAGCTTAGCTGGTTGCCGAAACATGTTTAGCTACTTAGTACCCGGCAGGCTGATTGACCGAGCGGCGCAGCCTAATGAATTGGCACATGACTACCACAATGTTGCCGCAACTATTCAAGGCGGATCCTTGAGCTAGCGCACACGGACGGAAATTAATTAAAATGACAAAACCTAATTTTCGCCCAACAGCTCAAACAAACCTCTGTCAACACCTTTTTGGCTTCCACTCGTTCGTAAGCGACACACGAAAACACACATAACCACGTTGAACCTGTCCTCGGACCTGGAGCAGGGCAATCAATCACAGAAATTAAAAATAATCGCTTAGAGGGAAAAACTAGACTGCTGGAATGAAAAAAAAAAACTAAAAAGAAAATCGAGTTGAAGCGTAAGCACGCTGAAATAGTAAGCTTTATACCCTGTATTTATGTTGCAAGTCGAGATGAGCACATTGCTAAAGCTTCCCATATTATTACATCTATTGTAAAAAATGGTATTATACTGGAAAAAGCAAAAGTAGTAATAACGATTATACAAGTATTTTGAAAAGTGCATTTATTTTAATACAATATTCAAATATAAATAATATATTTTATTTTATATACGAAAAGTCCGTACCAATACAGTAAAACAAACACTCCATGCCAATACAGAAATTATATTTATCATTATTTTAATACGAAAATTGGACTTGAAAAGAACTATTAGCAATTCACGAATTTTTTAACGCGCCTTAAAACTTTTACAAGCATCCATTTCCCCTTATCCTAAAAATATATTCGAATTTTTAAATATAGAATAAATGTGTAAACAAATTTGCCAAGTTTGTTGGTACTCGATACCAAATACCATATAATCCTGTTATAAACTGTTATACGGTGTATTCTCGAGCTACTGTTTTAATCTGTTTATCAAAAGAACCTACTAAAGAAGTACCGAGTACCGTTTCCCCTTATCCTAAAAATATGTTCGTTTTTTTTAAATATAGAAAATATGTGTAAATAAATTTCTCTAGTTTGTTGGTACTTGACACCAAATACCATATAATCCTGTTATAAACTGTTATACGGTGTATTCTCGAGCTACTGTTTTAATCTGTTTATCAAAAGAACCTACTAAAGAACTACCGAGTACCGATATTATACATATCTGTTTAAAATAAAAATACTTTAACACAAACACATCGACTATTTAATTAGTAATTTCAACCACATCTAGCGCCCCAAGTAAAATATCATGGCTTTGTTCGATTTTATAAATATACGCCCTTTTATTTTGTGCTATAGGGTAAAATAAGCAAACACGTAAGCTAAAAAATCGACAACAAATAAATACATTTATCTTCATACGCCCCAAGGGATGCACAGAAAATTGTTTGGCTTTTTGTTTTTTGCAGTTCGTCCACTTTATTTGCTTCCTATGGCAGGTTGGCCAGACATAAGTAAACAGAATCGCACAAAAGTCAATTTCCGGCACTTGGCAAGAACGCGTGTATAGTCTGAAAAAACGTAATGCACACACACACACTCGCTGGCCAAATAATTCACAAATACATACATATTGATAGACGCACACACCGGCAGCATGTAGTTTGAACAAGGAGTCAATTGTATTTTGTTGCATATTATACAAATATTTAGATTGTAATTATGCAAACAAAGTCATTTACTTATAGGGTTATGCTATTTACAGAATGCCTCATTAGCGCGAACTAAAGAGCTTTAACACACCTTTCCGGTGGTATGTGTTATTTGGGACGCTTAATGCTAATTAGTTTTAAAGACACAACTTAAGAATTAGTAAAAACTGCCTTGCGGTGGTAATTCTCCTTGATCGTCGCGTCCTGCCTTACTTAAGCAAAAAGTCCATTTCTGATTTTGTGGTTGACATGTACTGATCCAGCTCATTGTCCAAATCCTCGCGCTTTACTTCCCTACGCTGCGGCTTACCTAGGTTGAGAGAAGGGCAAGAAGAAAAACAAAGAATTAATACGTCATTTTTTTGGACACAGGAGTATAATAAATTCCATGTTGAGTCACTAGGCGCTCTCGTCCAGCCAGATGTCCAGTGAGCAGTGCTTGTAACGCTTTTACCTGCAACCGTGCGACCACCACGACCACGACTACGTCCGCGACGACCCTGTTGTAGTTGGTTTGGTTTGACAGCCTCTGTGCTGTTGTTCTTCTTCTTGTTACCATTTATATTGGCGCCCTTGGCCACTTTGCCACCTGTGCGTTGTAGGCTACGTCCGCGACGACGTGCGCCGACAGGACCGGCTCCTTTTTGCCGTCCATTTGATGAAGCAGCAGCGCTAGCAGCAACCTTTCCCTGGCGTGCCCGAGATCGTGAGCGTGACCGGGAACGCGAGCGATTTGTGGCAGCAGAAGCAGCACCGACAGCAGCAGCGGCACGTACAGCAGATCTGCATTAGAAACGAGAAATCATATACCAACGCATTCTTAGATACATAAGGCAACAAATGTAACTTACCTTCCACGTGCACGACCTTTGCGTCCGCGTCCACCAGCAGCAGCTATCACTGTCTTCTGCGCAGTGTTCGAATTGCGACGCTTCTCAATGCGTCCGGCAGTGACGCCGCGCACTTGGCTGTTGCCACGACGATTGCCACGTCGCTTATTGGCTGCTCCTTTTGCAGCTGCTGCGGCTGCTGCTGCCACGCCAGGACGCACGCCCAGACGTTGCTTAACAGAAACACGACCCGGTGCACGTCCGCCGCCGCCGCCGGCACTAACGCCTCTGCCACCGTTAGCCGACAGCTGACGGCGTCCACGGCTCTGGGTACGACCGACGCTTTGGGAACGTCCACGGCTCTGATCGCGTCCGCGACTTAGCGAACGGGCGCGTCCACGACTGCGTGAACGACCGCGCGACTGTAGTTGCGGAAGGGGCTGCTGCTGCTGCTGCCGAGATAGGCCACGCCGACGTTGAGCCACACGCTCTGCTGCGCCTCCCACAACGGGACGGCGCAGCCCCAGACGCTGGCCTAATCCACGAACCGCCGAGCTGGAACGTCGGGCGCTGCTGCTGTTGCTGCGGCGTGCACGTCCGTTGTTGGCGATGAGATCGGCGCGCATGCTATTTATATGATTGAAGTTGTAGAGGCGGAATAAGCAGAAGGTAGAGATGTGTTTTACATATGTTGTTGTAGCACTTGGCACTTTGATTCAAAAGCTGCTCGCAAGCAATCTTCCGACTTGGACTGAATCTGAATCAGTCAACAACAGCTACAAGTGTGTGTTTGGTTTTTTGGGGATGCTTACGTTGCCAGGCGAGTGCCGTTGTTTAAGCGCACGGGCTTTCCATTGGCTCCCAGGCGGAGCGCTTTGATGCCGCCAAGGCGTGCGTTGGCGCCGCCAGCAGTTGTCCGCAAGCTTCTCTGTAAGATGCATAAGGTTTGTGATGGATTTTTTGTTTTGCGTTTACAAATTGAATTCGACTTGACGCTGCTCAAGCGGTAGCGGTTCAGTGTGTGTGAATTCAATAGAAGTCTACTACAAGTGGGTTTATTTATATTGAGGTCTATTTCTGGGCTGATCTGGGCTGATCTTGGCTGCTCTGGTCTGAACTTGGCTGGGCTGGGCACTGTTGCTCGCTAGCTATGAAAACAGGCTGTCTGTATCTAGTGCTCGATTAAGAAGAATGCACAAATCCTTTGCTGACGATGCTCATCTGCTCATTTGCTGCTCTTTGCCATTTTTTTTGCCTTGCCCAGCCACACAGAACGGCACGGGATACGTTTAAACGCTTGCGTTTGTCATTCGTTCAGTCAGTTCATGGCCTCAATCCCAGAGTAAGTACTGTGGTTGTTTTTTGTTTTTTTGTTAAGACACATACGCGCTTCAATTTGAGGGCCGTCTGCACGGTGTGCTTCCTTTTGAACTCCTGCAGCAGCCGCGAATTGGCCACCGATGCGGTTGCGTCCACAATGCGACGACTGCGGCTGCGTGAGCGGCTCCGACGTCCGCGTGCCGCTGCCGGCGGCTGTTGCTGGCGAGATTGCATTTGAGTGAAACGCTCGTTTAGCGATATACCAGTCTGCACCATTTTATGAATTCAATTGATGTGCTCTTGAGTTTGTTTTATGAATCTTGTTAGACGAGTCCTCCTTTTGCTTTCCTTGAACTTTCACTGTGACCACAGTTGAACTGTGTCTGGATGTGCGTGCGTTGAAACTTGGTTTGCAACTGTAAGCGAACACACAAAGGTTGGTTAGTTTTATACGCCTTAAACTGCATTTTAGGTACTAAAATAATGTGCAGACAGGTAGGCAAATTGTAGCAGCTGGCAAATACTCCGCCATAAAAAGGAGATTAACAACCAAAGAAAACGCCAGATGTCACAGCTAGATTGTTACAATAAATTCCATCTGCAGTGGATGCAATTTCCTCAGAGTCATATAGTAGATTCGCAATAAAAAAAAACATATTTATCGGACGATTGTGCCTATAATGCCTATAAAGGATGTAATAATCCAATGTAAAGATGAAGCATAAATTTTAAACGTGCTTTCTCTGTATTACAACAGACAGAGAAAGCTATATCGACTCGACCCCTAATGCTTAAGCATGTATAAGATAGAAGACACTCTCTGCGAGGATATACTATATTAATTAGAAATACGGACATAATTTCTTGACTGTTCTATTGTGTGTATATGTATCTGCCAGCACACACGCACGCATACACACACTGTTATATATATGGAAATGAGTTCATGTGTAGTATGCGCGAATGTATTCTAATTATATACATGGTTTCCACAACAACAACAATATTGACTCATTGATGGATACACACATGTTACAGTGCATTGCTAATGGAATATGTTTCTATAATGTTACTTAAATTAATATATTGTGCGTTTACTTACATTTTAGGTGTCCTTTTGTTTTATTGGCGTTTCTCTTTATGTGCTGAAGCTGCGTCGAATTTCACAATTTCAATTATATATTTGCACGTATTTACGCCTATGCTGATTGAGTTTTTCGACTTCAAACTTTTATTTGCATGCCATTAATAGATTATCAGCTTCGTACAGTTTGATATTATAAGATATTCCAGCGGAAATAATATTTTCTTCTCACAGTTTTGACAAAGAATGCAAAACGCAAAAGGTACAGCCTTGTCTTGAACAAGTTCAATTAAACTATTCAATAAACCCAATAACGGAACTAGTTCCTTTATCATAGGTCGTTCGATTATTTGCTTAATATCGCACGCTAGATTGCATATCGATAGTTTTACAACAAGGAATTCTAAAATTACCCACTCAATACTAAGCAATGTTTTTTATTACATGTGTGTATGAATTATATGATTTTATATTAATTAAAACTGAACACCAATTAACATTTTCATATTATTTAAAATTAATGATACATTGTTTTCATTGTGTGAAATCAAGTTGGGTGGCAACGCTGCTTTAAGCATTTTAGTATTGGTATTTTGTCGCAAACAAAATATGGTTACACTGGTGGTGTAATATTTGTTATTTTAGGTTTATTTTTTGAGCAGATGTTGTTAATCATCGAAATGGTGCATGTATAGTATTTGCACAGCTGGCACGAGTTAAGGCTGTGCCACCAATCATCAGCATAACTTCACGTTCACTAAAATACAGACGCAGCGGCACGCGACTTCTTAAATAATGTAAACAAACTTCCCGATACATAACATAAGCAAAACGCTGTCTTCAGTATTTGTTGTTGGGCTTGCTGCTGATCAGCTAATATTATGCAAAAACTAGTTTTGCGCGGTTAATGAACCTATGACACTTGACTTTGCCGGCTAGAACGCTCGCGGCGTGATTATTTGGCAGCTAAATTCACATCGGCGTGTCAGCCAATTCAGTTCGAACCTCAAGCCAAACGGCGCAGAACACACAGCCGGAACACAGAAATCGCCACATGTACGTTTACAAGATGAGCAATCGTGCACCGGAGCTGATTATATGGTAATATGCGAAAATAAATGTGTTTCTGCTGCCTCCTAATCTACTTCTGCTTGGTTTCAGCTCCTTTATAATCGTCAGCCTGCTGGTGATACACTTCTTTACGGACCTGTTGCGTGTCTCGCTGGCGGGTACCTATGCGCTGGATGTGACACTGTCGCAGCTTATAGAAGCACAGTCCAAGGACTATGCGTGGCTGCTTAAGCTGCTGGTCAACTGTTTCGGCTACAGCTGCGTCTTTGTGCCCGGTTATCTCATCTACAAATATGTGCAGCGCACCAATTACCTCGAACGCGGCAATAAGACGTTCCTGCACACAGCCATCAATATGTGCATCACAGGCAATACCAGCTACGAGACGGTGGATGTTATTCACGTTGGCGGTAGCAGCGGCATCGGTGGAATAACGGATCGTCCAAGCAAACGCACCAGTTCCCAGGAGGCCGTGCAGCTGCTTTGGTGCTTTGGCGGTCTTATGGTCTCCTATTTAACTTGGGGTGTGTTGCAGGAGAAGATTATGACGCAAAATTATCTGAATTTCGCTGGCGAGAGTGCCAAGTTTAAGGACTCGCAGTTTTTAGTCTTTGCCAATCGCCTGCTGGCCTTCTTTGTGGCACTCTCCTATCTGCAATGGCAGCCTGCACCGACGCGACATCGGGCGCCTCTGTACAAGTACTCGTATGCCTCGTTCTCGAATATCATGAGCGCCTGGTTCCAGTATGAGGCTCTCAAGTTTGTCAACTTTCCAACGCAGGTGCTGGCCAAATCCTGCAAAATCATACCCGTAATGCTGATGGGCAAAATCATGTCCAAGGCCAAGTATGAATCCTATGAATATGTTACGGCCGTGCTCATCTCCTTGGGCATGATATTCTTTATGAGCGGCTCCTCCGAAAACAACAAAGCCAGCGGTGTGACCACCTTGACGGGCATCTTTCTGCTCTCCATGTACATGGTGTTCGACAGCTTCACGGCCAACTGGCAGGGCTCGCTTTTCAAGAGCTATGGCATGAGCTCAATCCAAATGATGTGCGGCGTTAATTTGTTCTCGTCCATCTTCACTGGCGCCTCGCTTTCCATGCAGGGCGGCTTCATGGACTCCCTGGCGTTCGCCACAGAGGTAAGCTATCCCAGAATAAGTTAACACGAATTCAATAATTATTAATAGTATGGGGAAAGCATGAATATTAAGGAGCTAAAATTATGATAAGCTAAATACTACTTGCTAATTAGGTATACTAATATATTGTACATTTTAATTAGCATGTTGTTATAATATAATATGCACAGTGGTTATGCTATTGAAAAAAAAAGCCGGCAGAAGTGTTTAGTTTATTGTATTTTATTACCATAATTTAGTAGGAAAGAGACAGCAGAAAAAAAGAATAATATGAGCAAAGGGGAAAGACACAGAACGCAAGAGAATAAGTTAGATTAAGAGTATGAGCAGAGATTAAATATATTAGATCAATATAATAATAATAAACAAAGCATGGAATTTTGTATTCATGAGAATCGCATAGTCGAAAATATTCTCAAACATGGCATTAATTCTTCATATAGTTGTTTGTTTAATGATTGCGTATTTACATTAACATTGTATATTATAAATTGAAATTACTAACAGCTAACCGAACTATTTTGTTTAATTTATAGCATCCCAAGTTTGTCTTCGACATGGTTGTTCTCTCCATATGCTCTGCGGTCGGCCAATTGTTTATTTATCACACAATTGATGTGTTTGGCCCAGTTGTGTTTACCATCATCATGACAGTTCGCCAGGTGAGTACCTCACACACAATACAATACACACACTCACACATACATACTGACTGTATTCTCACCTATTCTAGGCTGTTGCCATCATGCTTTCCTGCTTCATCTATCAACACAGCATTTCGGTGCTGGGCATCTTTGGAGTGCTCATCGTTTTTCTGGCCATCTTTTTGCGTGTGTACTGTAATCAGAAATTGCGGGCGAAGCGCAAGCGCGCCGAGGCGAACAAGCCCAAAACAGCTGTGTAATAAGCGCGCAGTTTGATAAATATCCACGCTCCGTTTAGTTCGGGTTAAGTTTGACAAGCTCATCCCATCTTAGTTATAGGCAACCTATGAATTTTCAGACTTTTGTTTAACATGCGCAGCTAGCCGAATATTCCTAATTGTATAGTTATGTTTTGTAGTTCTAAGTCAAAAAGTAGATATCAACAAAGTCTCGAGGCTTCAAATAAAATTGTATATGTGTGCTTAAATTAATGTAAATTTAATATAATTGCAATTGTCAACGTAAAAACCAGGGTTAGTTTTACTATAACGCTTAAGACTAAGCTGTAACTTGCATATTTTTTGTATAAATATATGAATGTGTTTTAAATATTATTTTAATCGTTTTAATAGCAAAACAGAGCATATGTAACTAAAGGACATCTTCCCTTGGGCTTAACGAGGGAATTTTAGAAATTAATATATATACGAGAATATCTTAATTTCTTATCAAAAATGTTGTACATGGGTTATTATGTGTTATATGTCACAGCTCATATACATTATAAAATTATAGTTATTACAGATGCCCTTTCTCTGCAGTTGTCTGCGCCTCTCGCATCGGCAAGAAACATAATGAATGAAGGTGGTTCCCAGCGCAGTCATCGCGACATTGACCCACTTTTCTAGCATTATTTTTTGGCAACATCCAGTTTCGTGCTTTTTGGCATCATCGTCAAGTTAGAGCTCCCTATGGCTGGCTGGTTAGTTGGTTGTTATTTGACACGGGTCAACGCACAAGACTCGTCGCTTGTAACTTGTTTTCTGAGCCATGTGGGCGAAACGATGTTACTGCAGATCGTAATGACGATGATGATGATGATGATGTTGCCCGCTGGTTGAGTTTGCGGGGGCGTCCCAAATTAGCATTTGTATCAAAAACAATGCGAATGCGCTGGAAAAATTCAAGCCAATAAAAAAGGGCATTATGCAATCGCCTGCCTTCTAAGGGAAAACAGCAAATTTGCCAGTTGTTAGCAATTTTAGTTGGTTTTTCGTTTTTTTGCGTACATGCATAGGTGATAAATTGGGGCGTGCTCAGCGCTGGCGGCATAGTCCGTTGCGAACAGGCCACTGAAATAGAAGTATCGCGAGGCAAACAAAGCAAAAAGAATCCTTCAAATATGCAGCTCATCAGCCTGCTCCTACTTGGTGCACTCGGCTATTCTGTGGCCGCTCCTCGCAGCTATTACTACGGCTCCAGTTACCCGCAGCGTCGAGCACCGCCTTCCGCCTACAACTACAACTCACAGAGCAGTCGCTATAGTCGACAGAGCAGCAGCAGCAGCAGCGAATCAGACAAGGAGAATCCCAAGTTTGCTGGTGCTGCGAATCAGGAGCTGGACGAACTGAGCTCCGATGCGGGCGACAACCGATCGCTGCTGCTCAAGAAGAAGCTAAAGAAACTGTATCGGCCTTATGCGGCGGCTGCTGCTGCTGCTTCCTATGGCTATGGAAGACCTTGCACACCTTTCGGACGCGACGCCGGTGGCCAACAAGATCCGCCTGAACAGGGACGGTTTCTGTTCGACGTGAACGTGTACAATGTGTATTCAGGCGCTGGCGGCTGTCGCGGATATGGTGGATTGGGCGGATATGGTGGATTGGGAGGATTGGGTGGATTAGGTGGATTGGGTGGCGGTGGCTTGGGTGGACTAGGCGGATTGGGAGGGCTCGGTGGCGGCTTGCTATCGGACCCCATATCTCCAGTTGCTCCACTGCCGGTGCCGGTGCGTCCCTATGCACCTTTTGCCACCTGGTTGTCACTTTTTGCGCCCGGCATATTGCAAAATAGCCTGGCGGCTACAGTGCCCGCTGCGCCGTACGCTGATCCACTCCCGGTGCGTCCCGCGTCTGCTGGTGGCGATTTGCAAAGCGACCCGGCCGTGGACCCCAACTTTAATCCAGTTCCAGTGCGTCGCCCAGTGCCCAATCGCGTGTACTATGACTCTGCAGGCGCGGTAAGTCCGACTATGTCCCTAAATTAATCCATATACTCAAATTTCTATTTGCAGCCCCCTGTCACGCCGGGACAGCTTTTGGGTGGTGTCTCTACGACGGTCAATGGAATAATTCAGCAGCTGACGGGTCAAGTGCAGCCGGTCTACCAAACAGGCACATATCGCGCCCGGGATAATCGCAGCAGCTATGGCTAAGCCGAAATGCGAGATTCATAACAAAATCGATTAGTATTTAAATGTGATTATATATTAAGTAATATTATAAGAGGAAATTGAATATGAAACATAATTAAAATATTAAAACCATTTAAGGTGAAAGCCTAACAAGTCTTTTAACATTGCTCGTTTAATAAGATTTGATATTTTCAAAACTGAAACTCTGAAACTCTCGTAAAACTGAGTAAACTATTTTAGGACACATATTTTCGTACTATTTATTGTATTATAATACCAAAATAATCATATTTAAATATTTGGGTTGACCTTATCAGTCCACATTTGTGTCAATGTGTCGAAGCACATTACTGGCCAATAAAGCTAAAACAATTACAATATATATTTAAAACTATATGAATATATATCCACATATCCGATTGACAAAATAAGTAAATACGATAACTCCCGTGGGGGTAAAAATAATAATACGCAAACTTTTCAATTTCAAGTTTTATTACGCCTATGTCTAAAATCCTGTCAACAACGGACTTCTATATCATACAGCTTATGTAGGGACGATCGGTAAAAAAAATAACTAACACATAAGCACAACACATATAATGAGAATGAGTTGTTCTTTATAAAAGAGTACACTTTTCTCACTAAACTTTCTTTCCTTCTCTGAAATAAACCATTTCTATGCGGTTTTCAAGAATTCAAGTCATGTCCACAGATTTTGTATTATTGGTGACTGCAAAATGGTGCAGAAAACAGAGAACAAAATTATGGAAAGGGTGTAAAAAGAACGTTTCTCTATATTATATAATCTTATATAGTTAGAAAATAAAATATTAGCTAAAATGAAACAGAGTAGATTCCAACTTTGCGTCTCTCTAATAGAAGTGCCATCAAGTCGTTAAAGAATGTTTCATAGATATAAGATATATAATAAAGGGAAGAGAGAAGCGATTCCCAAACTAAAGCCAAACAATATCTAAGCTCAAGATAGAAAATTCAATAAATTGATCTTGACTCGGCTAAGTTTCGAAATCAACTGGCCAGAAAAATTTATATTTTTGCCGACAATTATTCTAAAAATACGTCGTACGTTATTTGCAATTACTTTGTGAGAAACTAAAAAAATTGTATATATATCTAAAACGAACCTTTGCTCGGATTAAGTGGTGCCATAAATTGCCTTTATGCTGCATAGCATAGCATTAAAGGCGATGAATAATTTTACAATCTGTCCCTCCCCTGGCTGGAGATATTAGTCAGGCACGTACTATATAAATCTCGCATCTTTGGCCATTAAATTTATGCACGTCGCGTTTAGCTCATTAAAATCAAGAAGACAACAATACAACAATAACAACAACTATTACGATGACAAGGACGACGCATCCATAGCGACAAGAGAAACCGGATTTTGTATGGGGATTTTCAGGCTTCACATGTTTTGTATTGTTCGTATATTTAACAATCTGGATTTTCAGTACAAAAAGTAAAAGCTAACTAGACGTAAAAATCACATTCTGCTCTGATTATCGGCCATAGAAGCCGCCGCCGCCGACGCCGCCGCCGTAGCCGCCATTATAATAATTATTGGAATACTGCGACTGTGACTGACTATAGTGGCCCCCATAGGATCCACCGTAATTGTTGTAGCCACCACCTCCTGGATAGTAACCACCGCCGCCGCCGCCGCCGTAGTAAGGCTTGTGTCCATATCCACTGTAACCGCCGCCTGGATAGTAACCACCTCCGAAGCCATGACCGCCGCCATGTCCGCCGCCATGGTGATAGCCACCACTTGGATAATAGCCACTGCCGGGATAGTAGGAGCCACCGCCAGAGTAGTAATCACCGCCGCCACCACTGCCGAAGCCACTGTAGAGCCCCGCATTTATGCCAACGCCTGCGCTGAGTCCAACGCTGCCGCCAAAGCCACCGCCGAGCAGTCCAAACGAGCGTCCCTCGCCCTTGATAGGCGCTGGCGCCGCAACTCCATATCCGGCAAGCGCCAATACTACCAACAGCTGTAAGGGAACAACCGATGAGCAAGTGCATCAAGAGGTGAACCCACCAATACGTACACAACACAAGCGCGCCATTCCGAGTGTGAAATAAATGTATGTGGATGTATCGCCCACCGAATCGGTAACGAAACTAAATTGCAATTGTGAAGTGCCCTGCGTTTATATACCCGCTGTATTTGTATGCCCAATGACCGGCCATAAGAAGCTCAGTACGCGCTACGCATTGCCAAGTAATTCTACGCAAATTGCAGAACAAACAGCGGACCACAACGAAATGGAAACCGAACCAGAACCAGTTAGTGACGAAATCACGGAATACCCCTCGGTAAACAATGCTGACGAGGCAGCAGGCCTCAGAATGCGTTAATTTTTCGATTGTCAAAATATACGTGCACACATCATTTCTTGAGGGTTAAGGCAATTGTCGGCCGTCGCTGTAGAAGATCAAGATCACAAAAAAAAACCCAATAAAAATAATCGCTTCACTGATTAAGCATTCGAGTGTACCAAAGATTGAATACCCTTTTTACAACAGAGTAAAATGTATATCATGTCATTTTATATTAGTTTCCGTCTTGTGCTCATCACGAATACTTATTGACAAATAAAGTATTAATATTAAATGAATCGAAAATATTTAAATTATTATCAAAATAATAATATATAAACACATCTGATTAATCAAAGATTATATGCTTTGGGTAAGAGTATAACAAGCGAATACTTATTGACAAATAAAGTAATAGTATAAAATTAGTTGAAAATATTAAAATGAATTGTCACGACTAAATAATAATATAGACACATTTGTCTAACAAAGATTATATGCTTTGGGCAAGAGTATAACAAGCTACAATAAAATAACAAAAGACTTAGGCAACAAACTTTACACAGAACGTGCAGCGAAGCATGGGCGAAGATGTCGGAAACATCGTCAGCGTCTGCGACCAGCATTCATTTGGCTCATTAGCACTCGATGTTTGTTTCTTGTATTTGGCGGCTGTTGCTCTAGCGATGCGATTTGTGTACTCATCTATATGTTAGTTAGTATAATAAGTATAAGGTACGCCTTCACTTTCGTTGGCGGTTTATTCACCTTTGGCAGATTACTCGGCTGACGTCAGAGAATACCACCCACATAATCATGAGGAAGTTATTTTAATGGAGAATAGAATATGGATAATCTCATTAAACTTGAAATATTGCGAATGGCATTAGATATACAAATAATATAGACATCAAGTGCAAATATCATTAAATTAATTTTTATAATAATTATATTAATGTTGCAACCAAGTGTGACAAAATTTCACATTCGTGCTTATAATTCCCAATTAATTTAAGCGAAGGCTTGATTCGTTTTTTATGGGGTAAAAAGTGAAGCCTACCCTTTGTGACGTCCTTAATCGTACCCTAAAATAAGGCGCTGCTCTTCACACAAAATGCTCCAAGAAAATGCTCATCCAATTGTGTCTAAATCCTTGAGAAAATCAGAGTGAATCTGAGTTAAAAACTTTCCCTCTTGTCTTTGCTCAAAGTTGTTTGATTATATTAAATTTATAATAACTTCTTAAACTCTTAAGCAATAAATTTATTAGCTGCCTCAATTGGGTAAACAGATGACAACTTTTCTTATTTTTTTTATTTAAGAAGTTTAAGATATTTTATAAATGTTTTTATATTTATAAATATTTGTTTGGCTGACTCGAGGTGTTTGGTCAAACAAAAATATATATCCGATATATTTCGGATACATTTTATATTTGTTTAGGTTTGAAAAGTGGAATTTCCCAGGTTGTTTTTTGCCCACCTTGTACTTCATATTACCATATTATTATTAAATTACATTTAATTATATGCCTAGAGCATATACTATTTATTGGTAATTACTGATGCTTACTTCCGTTTAATTTACACATGATAAAAAGAAAATCTCCATAGCATTTGTCACCAAGTAGCAAACTAAGCGCCAGCTATGAAGGTTCGTGCGGTAAGTTCTTAAAGCCTTAGCTGCCCGACTAATCCTTTTTTCTTTATTTAAATTTAGATTGCCTTATTTTACAATGTGCTGTTCTGCCTAGGTGTCTGCGCCTTGGGTGCACCGCAGTGGCCAGGAATTGGGTCCTCGGGTTACGGCTTTGCACCCTGGGGAGGATATGGAAACTACGGTTCATCAAGTGCCAGCGTCGCAGCCAGCAGCAGCAGCAGCAGCAGCGGCGGCTTTCAGGGCTACGGTACGCAAGGATATGGCTATGGCTGGCCAGGCTATGGCTACGGGTATGGCAACTACGGCGGAGGCTACCAGCAGCAGTACAATCAGTATCAGTACAGTGGGTACAATAACTACGGGTCTGGAAATGGACTTGGCTATCCGCTTGGCTATGGCAGATAAGTCGGTAAATAAATAGATATGCATATGAATGCGAATGTTTGCATATATTAAGCTTTTTACTGCTGGAAATTTCAGTTTGGATTTTGTTTGATTTCTTTTTTGTTGGACTTTGTTTTTTCTCTTTTGGAGGTCAATAAAACGAAAATACCCAAGCATGTACGAGCATTCGATGATTCATTTGATTCGCTTAGTGAAATAGAGCTCAATCTATATGAGCATGGCACAATTACCATTCCGAAGAGAGACTTTGTGTTTATGATGTTCAAACCTTGTATAGTTATGAAAAACGTGTTTTAGATAAAGGAAGTAGTTTTCTCTTGAAAATCATTTCCTAGCAGTACACACATCACGTAGTGCTAATTTTCGAACACTTGCCAAATATAACTAATTATATAGTCAAGAAAAATTATGCCAAAAACATTATACTCTTACACAATTTCGCATTAAATTCATTTAACATATTCCAAATCGAGTGAAAAACAAAATCATGTCAAAACTTAAGTTGCCATAGTTAATTAGGCTAAGGGCTTTTATATTTGCTCTTATATTGTTCTTAAAAATGTCCCTAGCTCTTATGAAACTAAGCTAAGCTTTAGCTTAAGATTTGCTATTTATTAATTCAATTTTTAAAATCATAATAATAACATGGCATATTAGCCGTAAATTCCCTAACATAACATATTTCATGACACAGTACTAGGACCCATTGCAAGGGTATAAAACCTTAAATTAAGAACGCCTCTTTGGAACTGGAAATACTCCAAATGGGCCTGTTTCTGCTGACCATTCATAATTTTCAGCCGTTATTAGCACTAGCCAACAGATACGCTTGTTTCCATCAGTTGACTTTACACTGTTTTCATATGTGTTCCATTTTTTTTTCGCTTTTGCTCCTATTCATTTTGAAAACCAGAAATTTTCAGGGTCAATTTGTGTGCATACAGCAAAGATGCCAACATATTAAATAAAAGCTGAAGTTCACAGCAACAACAACAACAAAATGAAGACAAACAAGATCGCGTCGCGAGGCGAGATTGCATAAGGGCGACAATAACCGCGCAGAAAACGCGACAGCGACATAAAAACTGATCGCTCACCGCGCAGCAGCTTCAATTGCACAGAAATCGTGGTCCATGCAAGCGACATCAATCAGCGTAGAGAGATTTGAACTTGAAGGCTTACAAGATAACAAGTGAAACAACAACAATTAAATAAACGAGGCCATAAAGTTAAATATTCAAGCGCTGCAAACAATTTAAATCAATTAGAAAAGTATTACTTGGTGTAAAATGCAAATCATTGTGAGTAAAAACTTGTGTTCAAAAGTTAAATTGTAAAAAACACAAACAAAAGATGGTCTTATCTAATGTTAAATAACAAAAAATCTGTAAATAGTGTTTTTTTACTATTTGAAATGTTAAATTGAAACTAAAAATAAATTTTGTTTAAAAGAATTTGTTAAAAATTTTAACGTGTGTATAGTGCAGATACATGCTTTTTCAACCAATTAAAACATTTAACAACTGATTTATTTATTAAATATTATAAGCAATATTTTATCTTAATTTTCTTACAGCGTTCTTCACATTGGTTGCTCCTACTGCTGGGCATCTGCTTGGTGTTCCTGCTCCAAAGTGCCACAGCCGGCAAAGTGAAGCTCTTTGCATTTAAGGGTCCGCATGCCGGTTTTGTTGGATTGAAAGTACGAACTCCAAAGTTGTTGGGACTTAAGCATGGACTGGTGGGTCATGGCGGTGGATTCGGTGGTGGCTTTGGCGGTGGCTTCGGTGGTTCAGTTGGCGTCGGCGGGGGCTTCGGCGGTGGCCACAGTAGTGGCTATGAGCATCACGAGGAATATCATCACGAGAGCCACTACAGCAGCGGGGGAAGCTATGGTGGTGGCAGTTTCGGAGGCGACTTGTGGGGAAAATAAACAAAATGTTCCTAAATAGCCTAAGTTAGACTTTAAACAAATTATCTTCATTAGCATCACAATGATTGTTATGTTTATTACATCGTCTCCATTAGAATTATGTTTGTTATTCAGTTTTAAGCTCACACTCACTTGCGTACAAAAATAAAATGTATAAATTAAACGTTGCATACTAAGGAAATAATATGGGGGATATCCAACATTTTGATGTTTTTGAAAATTTGTAAGTAAGAAATCTCTCTCTCTTTCTGTATTTCTCTGTCTTTCTCTCTCGCTCTCTTTATACCCACCCACAATGATGAAAAATAATGGTAATAAGCCTCAACAAGCCTTTTTATTCGTAATATAGATGGCGTGATATGTTTTTTCGTTCGTTTAAAGCAAATGAACAATAGATGGCGATTTATAATAGCTACTCTTGTAAGAAATGAGATAACATCTCTCTATGAGTTTCCGTAGTGTAGTGGTTATCACGTGTGCTTCACACGCACAAGGTCCCCGGTTCGAACCCGGGCGGGAACAATCTGAATATTTTTTGATCCCAAATCTATTTTTACATTTGTTTTTTATTTTATTAAATATGCATACACATTATTATTCCTTTTTTAATAAAAATACATAAATATCGTGCAACTAAAAGTAAAATTCGAACAAGTTCATTGCAGTATATTGCATATAAATCCAAATAAATATTCTAAAGGTTATGATAAGAACACTATCATCTAAATAACAATAAATTTCTGAATTGTGTGCTAACGTCGTCTTCTGAAGCCTCCTCCGAAGCCACCAAAGCCACCGCCGTATGCGCCACCACTATAGGATGAGAAACTTTCATATCCGCCATATCCGCCATATCCACCGTAACCACCAAGTCCTCCATATCCACCATAACCGCCAAGTCCACCGCCACCTAAACCTCCTTTCCAGCCGTGTTTGAATGGCCGTCCAACTGGGTATGGAACTGGCACCGGTTGGGGTACTGCAACTGGAACGGGTACTGGCTGAGGCACAGGAACCGGTTGCGCAACAGGATAGGGCACTGGATAGCCCCCGCCAAAGCCTCCGCCAAACTTCTGTCCTCCAAAACCATGTGCCTGGCTAGACTTCAGCGTCAGGCACAGCAGCACCAGAGCCGAGATAATTCTCTAAAAATGCGCGTTGTATTTGGGGATTTTTCAACATTGACTTAAAAAAACTCACTGTGTTTGGTCTCATGATGTGGACAACTTCTAATCGTCAAGAGATACGAGTTGTCACTTTTATAGCGTTTTCTGAGACTTCCTGAACTTCCTTTTCTCGACGAGTTCAAAGAACTCTGAAACTGACGTTAGACGAGTAGAACCAGTTTTCTTTTTTTTTGGCAAGCCTAAATCGTAAACATTAATGCGAGTTTTTTAGTAGCAGCAACTAATGCAAAAAGAAATAACAAATGGTGTGAAAGACATTGATAGCGTTCAAATCGTGGGTTTAAGGTCGCCACACAGTTCCACAGTTCCGGGCACACGTGGGCGTTTGTTCTGCGATCTTGTTATAAAAACTGAAGCTTCATCCATTCAGACAAACAGTCAACTAAGAGACAATATCCAAACATGATTAAGATTAGCTGTACCGTAAGTAAATCGATTCTGATCAAACTCCAGCATCTTCTCATCATTTATTCCTAACAGTTGCTGGTGCTGGTGCTCCTCGGCAGTTGCTATGCACAATACCAATACCCACAGCAACGTCCAGATGCAGGTGGTGCTATCCCTGCTTCTGGCGGTTCACCTGGCGCAGTTGACAATCGCATCATAGGCTTAGGCAGTCTGCTTGGAGGTGGCGGTGGAGGTGGCGGACTGCTTGGCGGCGGCGGTGGAGGTGGCGGCTTGTTTGGCAATCTCTTGGGTGGCCTGCTAGGTGGTGGACGTCAACCTTTGGGACAAGCATATCCACCACCCTTGCCGTCATATGGAGGCGGTTACCCAGGATATGGATATGGTGGTGCTCTTGGTCCTGGCTACGCGGGCGGCTTCCCCGGCGGCAATTTTGGTGGCGGCTTTGGTCCTGGTTACGGCAACTATTATGGTTGAGCCGATTCCATGTTGGGTGTGCCATAGTCCACTGAAGTATTATTCAAATGATTATTTTAACCATGTTTTCAATTTATATTTATAAGTTTGTTGACCATTTAAATACAAAACACATAAAAATGCAAAGCTAAATGCTTGTCGGTTGTTTACAGTTAGGCAGCGTTAATTTCATATGGGGATGTAGCTCAGATGGTAGAGCGCTCGCTTAGCATGTGAGAGGTACGGGGATCGATGCCCCGCATCTCCAAAGTTTCTATAACATTTTTTTGCCTGTTAAAAAATATATCAATATTATTGTGCACTATTTATATTTTAACCGTGTGCCCAATATATACAAATAATGAAGAAATATGGTATAATGTTGTAATATGCATTTTAACGCTTATGAGAAATATGTATTTACATAATTCCGTACTGTATGTATGTACATATAATATCATTACTTTCAGAGATACTATAATACCCGAGCTGTAGACAAAAAGTTGGTAAGTTCTTAAACGTCATAAGCAAGTAAATGTTGCCTTTAATTTTTGATTCATTTCATTTACGACCAAAAACAGTTCAATCAAATTTCAACAACATATGAATTTCTTCTATACATTTTAGAATTATTGGATATAAAAAACGCAATAATTTGAAAAAATATACTTTGCTTAACCGTATTGCTCAAGTTTTTATGTAAGTATACATGTAAAGGGAAATACATTTCTAGCTTGAATATATGTAATTGTATTTCTTTATTTTTATATATCTCAAACCATTTTGATTATTTACAAATTATTTTTATTTAACTGTAAATATAGTTTCATGAGAACAAAACTGTTCACGGCGCCTCATCCGCCATGAGGCTCAATGGTCTAGGGGTATGATTCTCGCTTTGGGTGCGAGAGGTCCCGGGTTCAAATCCCGGTTGAGCCCAAACTGATATTTTTTGTTTGAGTTGCTTCGATTTTATTTATTATCAATATAATCCTAATGTTGGTTATAGGGGGAAATTTAAGGACCAGGGCAAATGTACATACAAATTACAAATTGTAATATAGTGTTTAATAAATAATTTAACAATTTGAGCATATCTGTGAGCTCATAAGAGTAGTGCTATTAAATAATATTATTGAGAGACTTATTAGAAAAAAAAAACAAATGGAAAAAAATATAATGAGAAAAAGTTTATTGGAGATGCGGGGCATCGATCCCCGTACCTCTCACATGCTAAGCGAGCGCTCTACCATCTGAGCTACATCCCCGTTGGAAGAGTGTACAGCCATTGAGCGTTTTGTCAGTCGGGTTACCATTTGTTAATATTGTGTCTTTTTAATTAATACATTATCAGGGTTGATATTGAAATAGTTTTTATATACACACACTTCAAAAATTACATAGGCATATTTAGATGCCTTGATATATTATTTAGTTTTTTTTAAGTTTTAATCCATCAGTCCCAACAGAAAATAAATTCATCACATTGGCTGTATTTCTTTTGTCGGCTGCTTCAAACTTGATAAGAAGTTGACGTCGTTGGCTCGACAACTTGACTAAACTTATGCATTTAATTTCCGTTTCCGGTCAGTGAAAGTTGTCCAAAAGAAAGCAACAACACCTGCCAACAGATGGACCTCGGACGTGGACACCACACTCCCACAACTCGTTCCAGTTTCGTGCTCCATTGTTGTCATAGCACAAACACAAATAAACACGCGGACAATTTCATACGAGGAACAGAAACGAGAGGAAGAGAGAACTGGAGCCACTGCTGCTGCTGGATATGGATGCGATGTAGCTGTGGTCCCGCGTCCCGATCCCGTTGACCATCAGCCGTTACTATCTGCACTTTCACACTTGTGTTTATACAACTGTCGCTCGCTGGCGTATTTGTTTGCCCGCCCCAAAAGAGCCACGCCCTGCCTGGCAAGCTCTATTATTATTTTCACAAGTTATATAAAAATAATAACAGAAACGGACTGGGCTACGAGCTGACCGAAACCGGGCGAGCCGTCCATGGCCATCCATTATGCTCCCGGGCATTTATTTGCCAAACAATTCAGCAGCGCGTTGGGCTAACGTCTGCTCCTTGGGCAACTTCAACCACTTCATCAGCATTCAGCAACCAGCAACCAGCGTCTGCATCGGCATCGACATCAGCATCAGCATCGGAGCCAGCAATGTCTGGAGCTATCTTATGGTTTATGATGGAATCAAAACAAATGCCAGCGTTTCGTTTGCTCCTGATGAGTTTGTTTATGCAGATTGGTTTGGAGTTTTTCGGCGTTAATGGATAAATGTCCATGTGTGCTCATGTCTGTATGTGTGTACTCTGTACACGTACATAAGTAGGTGTATGAAATGTTCCTGCTCCTTATTTTTGCTCACATTTTTACATGTAACCCTTTTTAATGACCTGCCAAGACAGGCTATAGTAGTTTGATCATTAAGCTTGTTACGTTTAGCAATTTTCATTGTTGTTGGGAAAAAGGGACTTCTTGCTTATTTGGGATAGGTGGGCTCAAGATTTTTCCATTCTCCTTGCAAATCTTTATCAGGCAGGAACAAGGCGTACTCATCATCAGCTGTAGGTTTTTTGGGGTTTTAGGAAATTTAGTAAAATTGAATTATATTGCTGTATATCTTGATATTAAGCTCTTGACAAAAACCTTATATAGGGAACTTTAAATCTAACATTTTAATTGCTGCGCAAAATAACGACAAAAAAAAGGAATTTTAACTTAAGAAAATATAGGTAACATTTCTATACATTTTTTTTATATATCTGAAAATGCTATTTAATTTAACTCTCTTTTAAAAATTAGAATACAAAGATTTCAAAAATAATAATAAAGATTTTATGTCTTGAATCGAAGGTCTTGTCTATCAAGTCAAAAATTTTAACTAAACAACATTTAACTCAAGTCAGAAACAGAATTTGAAGTCATTTAACTGCTTTTGCTTAAGTCCAGAGCTAAGATAGAGTAACTAAAGTTCGCTAACTTCGAGCTAAGGATTCGTTTCTTGTGAATTTTTGTTTTCCTTTTTTGTTGCACGCTTTTCAATTAAAATTGTATTGTTTTCTTTTACTTTGTCTGCGTTGTTTACTTAGGCGAGGCTGCTTAGCCGAGAGCACATGCCATCGGGTTGGGTCCGCAGCCAGGAACCGGAACAGGTCCAGCTCCAAATCCAAAGCTGCTGGCGCTCGCTTGAGGCGGCGGCGTGGCCGGTGGCAGCATTGCTGGTGGCGGCAAAGGCAGCGGTCGCGGCGCAGGCGGGGCCAGCGGTGTTGGCTGCCGAGCTGGCCCAAAGAAGCCGGGACCGTAGGGCGGACTGGCCACAGAGCTGCCGGTATTCTGATCGGTCTGATATATATACACATTGCTGTTGCCTTGCGCCTGTTGCTGCTGCTGCTGCTGCTGCTGCTGCTGTAGAGGCGAAACGTAGTAGGCAGGATAGAAGCCGCCCGGTTGTGGTCCAATGGCCGCAGGATTGCAGCCATAAGACGGACAGTTGAAGTAGCCATTGAGGGGGAAAGCAGCGCCAGCATAGAGCGGTGCAGGATTTTGGAAGGCCAACCAACGATCGCGCCAACGTCGAAACAGGGTGCCCAGAAAAAAGAAAGACCGCCCATCAAAGTTCTCCGGCTGCGCCTCATAATCGTCCTCCGCATCCTGCTGCATGTCCGCAGAGCTGGCGGCCAGCAACAATAGCAACAGCAAAATCTGTTGGAGGATTTTTAAGTAAGAGGATCTTGCGGCTGAGGAGCCTGTGCTGCCACCTACCAGCGTAGACATTTTGGGCAACTGTGCGCACCGAAGTCTCTGGGTAAACTGCGCCCAACAACTGCCAGATAGGCCCCAATGAAACGTAATGTAAGCCAGTCCACCGCCCATGAGATGCCGCCTAATGAGGCCTGTAATTAAATCTTTGGGCAGCCGTTGCTCTTGTAATCGGTTACAATTGCGCCAGCCAAGCGTGAAATGTTGAGGCTTCAACGTTTCAAGATCATCACAATACATTTTGTGCTGTAACATACTCAAGCCGGGCCGGCAACGTTTATGCAATTTACATGCCCAAACTTCTCCAGCCTTAACTTACGAGTTCGAAAACCAATAAATAGTGCCTTGACTGCGATAATGGGAAGCATATAGATTGTTATAAGGAATGAAAATAATTATTTCTGCAATTTTATGGAACATTTTCAAAGAAATTATGTACGACAAGCAAACACTAATGTAATACTTATATGAATGCCTAATATTATTGATATATCAAATATAAACTGAAACCCAATCAAGATAAGAGATTTATGAACTTTCCAATACACTTTATCCTCTTCTGATAATTTAGATTTCTGCAAGCTTTTTCTTGTCGATTTCAATAATCAATAATTAAAAGTCTTCCAATCGACACTTTTGTTAGGCGAACACCTCTCTTGATCGTACATTTTGAATCAGACTATATTTATTTATACATATATATTTACAAATTCGACCTCCCCAATTAAGTGGAGAATCCTCTTCAGTAGACCCAAATTGCCCGACCTTCGCTGTCCGCCGGCAAGACTTTTCACTGAGTTTAGTTCACATTCAATTTGTATATAAATATACCCTGATAAATTAAAATTATAATAATAAATCAAATGAATATAGATGCCAGTATACTAGATAGATATATATATTTTATACATGTCTCATCTTCTGTCTTGTTTAAATTCCAAATTAGATTACGTCGGCAATTAAGTCATTTTCTCCAATCGCATATATATTCTTTTCACTTGCTTTTAAAATTAGTGAGTATTTTTCCTTTAGAGCAGACTCTTTAAGCAACGTTTTCCCAGGCATTCGGCGCCGGCACGTGCTTACCATTATTTATTGTTAAACAATAAAAAACTTGCCGGGGTTTTTGACTTTTTTGCTTTTTACACTGCATGCCAGCCTAAAAACGAGCAACAACAACATTTTGAGTTATGAGCACTGCGTGCCAGGTGTACTAAAAACAGCTAATAAACTGGG